GAACATTGAATTATATCTGATGAATATTCAAAAGGAGAACATGAAAAATAAAGAATGAAATCCTCCGAAATTGAGAATTGACATAGACCTCTAATCGCAGATTCGTGATAGAGTCTCAATTCAGAATTTCTTTCCACGCCCTGTATGATGAATGTCAATTTATCATACACCCAAAAGCAATGAACTTTATAGGTTCAAAAATAGAATTTCTTTCAACTAGGTATAGTGACTGCAAAAACTATGTACTTTATTGCCACCTATGGCCTGATCCAAACTATCCACATACCTATCACCCTGTCTTCTGTTCCCAATAATTTATAGGGTATTTCGTTGATCTGAGAATTCATGCATCTTTCATTCACTATCCCTATACAGAGGCCACTTCATCGAAGTATTCTTTTTCTACGGTTGTATCACTATGACTTGATTCTTTTCACTATTTTTATACCATCTTTGTGGGAGGTATCGGTATTGAGTAATTTATGTGATAGAGCGACCACAATCTTTTCATTCTCTCAATGGATTTTAGTCTTGGTCTCGTAACCTCTCAGATTTATTGCGAAAGAATTCGCATCACTCCGAATGTAACGAATGTGAGCTGAAAAGCGGTTATTATGATGTCAGTTGTACGTTCTTAAAGTCGCATTAAAGAAATAGGTCGGTTCTGTTCAAGTTGGTATTCTTCGTTTGGGGCATCAATCAAGGGACCTGTCGAATATGAACTTTTTTTTCAATTGAAATGAATGGAGTTTGACATGGGATTGAAGAAGGAATGTGTGAAATGAACTCAAAATTATGTTGTATTTCTACCAAACGTGGATAGATAGATAATTATTTGTTGATTTAGAACAACTTCTACTGTATGTTGAAGTTATGAAAAAATGTTTCTGAAGAAACTTCAGCAGTATATTAGGAATTTGATTTTCTAAAAGTTCGAAATTTTTCTAGTTTTTTCTGTTCATCTTTCGTTTGAATTCATGTTCTCTTTGAATTCAGAATTGTTCTAGACATTTTTCTTTGATTGCAGCTCTCTGTTCTTTGCAGTCAGACATTTTTGGTTCTACATCCCAGTAAACACAAACATCCCTGATGAGATGTCACATTCACGACGTGAACAATGCGAATTACTAGAAAACATCAAGGGACTCTTCATTTTACAAAAATGTTGGTGAATTTATATGAGGCTCCCTAACAACCATGAGACTCACTAGAACCTCAGTCTTCTCTTGATGGAATTCTGACATTTGTATTTGAAGTCAGACTTCAATTTAATATAGATTCCAGCCGTCGAATTCAGACTTCTCTCTTCGAAAGAACATTTTTATTCAAAGTTAGACTTATTTTTTTGAATTAAAACTAGACCCTCTTTGTCTGGCTTTCTTCTTTGTGATCAGATTTTCGTTCTTCATTCATTTTATAATCAGATTTTGCTGTCCAAATTCAGACTTTTGTCAATTTTAATTCAGACTCTTATATGATTTGCGATTCTTATTCCTTTCAGGAGTTCTTCTTATTAAAATTTGCCTGATGTGAATTATTCAGATTGCTCTCGGAATTATGACTTCTGTTCCTTCAATTTCTAACTGCTTTCATCAAAACAAACTTTATGATCTTTAATTCAAACTTCTATTTTCAAATTCAGGCTCTTTCTTCAAAGTCGGACTTCACTCACAGAATTAAGAAATCTGCAGGTATGATGAAAATAGCTAATAATATACAGGGATCCAAAAAATATACATATTATTCCTCACATGCAAATGGAAAAAGTCTCGAGCGAGCACGTGCAAGATTTTCACAGATTGATGTAGTTTCAACATCAATAAGCAATATCTATGATTTCCCAAGAAAAAAATGTCAACTATCTATACATAAGTATGTAGGTATGTACAGGGTGGGCCAAAGTAGACACTTTTAAAGGGAAAGTCCTAATCCTGAACTAGATACATAGAAAAAAAATATTGTTGGTGCCTGTTGATCAATTCACATAACAAACTCAATGGTGTTTTTCGAAAATATGAATCTTCGAGAAGTGGCAAAAACTATTTATGAAAATTGATCCTCAGGGACCTCAGGTAATGAAATCAGTCACCATATACCTAGTTTCAAAGTAGAACTTTTTCTTTCAAGGAAAACAAGTTATATTCTTGAACAAGATATAGGAAGGTCGATGTCACTGTCTCAGGAATGATTTTTATCACAAACTCAAATCCTTTGCAATTACTTTCATGAGAACATACAATTTTTGCTAAAACAAATTCAAAATGCCCACTGAAGATGGACAACATATGGCAGAGTGGAATAATATTCAAATCATTGGGAAAGAAGATAACAACCATGCAGAAGAGAAAAATCCAGGAATCTGCTAGTTTTCTCCTGAACGGAGACAATCCATTTTTCATGTTGGAAACGGTAGCAGATTCGTTCCCGAAACGTCCAAAGCTGAGTGAAAATTTGATATTTTTTCTATATACCTATATTTCTCTTCTCCAAACCATTGTCAATACAAATTGTCACTGACAAGCTAGTGAATTTTTCTTTTAGGCTCTCTTATAGGAAAATTCTTTAAACGCAGTGACATTTTGGGGCAAATCATCTGATTTGTCTTTACTACACGTATATTGAAATAATATTCATATTTTTATTTTATTGAAACGAGGAGATTCAGTCTAAAGAAATCTGGACTAATGAATACTATTTTCGTTTGCAAGAAAGTGAGTTTCATTTAGTTTTCGTACACCCTGTATCCTGCCATCGCTATGACGTCCACGGGTATGCAACCGTATCCCTCATGAAATGCAATAAACCCCAAATTTTTGCGGTTTCCCAATGAAGGGATGATCCGAAGTCCGGACTACCCGCGGCGAATGCTAAATATATTGTCAGCGGAAGTGAATTGCAAACCATAGGAGGAATCATTAAATAGGACATTGTATAATATAGGGTAGAAGGGATAGTAAAACCAGTGACAAATCAACAGGGTACGAAAAAGAAAACACTTCTATTAATAAGAAGAAGTTCTGATTATTTCACTAACGAGCGCAAAGTAGCACTTTTTCGCTCGAATCAGAGAGGTGTTCGTTGGTATTCTCAAATTCTCCATATCCACGTATTACTTCATGAAATCCTATAGCTGACCCGACAAACGTAGTTTTGCTATGTATGTGTATATACATAGGTACATTATTTCTAGAACATATTTTGTTAGTTGTCAGCACACTTTAATCATTTTATTTTCTTCTTCTGTTTGGTTTGACTAAACATAAAAGCGTGTTTCATTTGTTGTCCAAACTATACTATTAATTTCCTACTTCTTCTCAGTTCGGTAATCTTTTCTTTACTATTCATTTTCTATTTCTTTCAGTTTGAATATCTGTGAAAGCGTGTTTCATTAGTTTTCATGAACACAATTTACTACGAAGCTTGTTCGAGATATTGAAGCCGTCATCTTGAATTTTCCAATCATGACAGAGGAATCATAATCTCAGACCCTGAACACCCTCAGATACCAATTTTAAATAGAATCGGATCATAATTAATAAACTCGTATGCCATATTCGATCTGCTACCAAAAAAATATATTCATGGGCTGCCAATGGTTTTTGCTTCCTCTGTAATAACAAATCAAAGGGATTATGCAAATAGGCAATAAGGGTCTATGCAACTGTTTGTATGTCGCCATTTTGTCATTATTCTTGCACTTAGGGGTCAATAAAGTAAAATGCATTGTGGAACTTTCAGTCTCAATATTTGACCTATTTATTATATACACCGTGTCCAAGATAAGGATGTCTATCATTGAGATCTTGGAAACAATAGGAGATACGAAGATGATTGAATGAGAGAAAACTTGCGCATTACCAAGCACAGTAATATGCTGTTCAAAAATGTTTAAATTCCGGGTAGTTCCGGATATATGAATAAAAAACCGAAATTTGCGGATTTAGTTTAATTTTTTTCTAAAGATATTCAAAGAGATGAAAGAAAACAAGACACTTTCGGAGGAACCATTTTCGAGAACCCCATATTATGATAGGCATCCTTATCTTGGAAACAGTATATAATGATATACAGGGTATGTCACGACGAGTTTACATTCTATCTTTATATCAAAAATCAGTCAGCATTGATATTTCGAATAGAGCACCCTGTATTTTATTGCACTTTGAGATTCTCCTTGAAGAGCTGATTTAATCGATATATTATACTTGGGGTCTATCGAAAATGATAGACAGAGATATAGGGTGTTCAAAATCGAGATTTTGGCTCACATGTCCTTACCTTAACTTTTGATCAACTTTTTACTGATATGTAATCGGAACAGATACAGGCGGTGGTTCAAGATTCAGAATTCTGATCACCCTGTGTTTGTTCCGATTGAATATCAGTACAGAGTAAATCAGAAGTTGAGATTGGGACATGTGAGACATCCTAAAGTTGAAAAATCTCGATTTTGAACACCCTATATCTCTGTAATTATTTCCGACAGACCCCATCAAGTGTGATGTATCAATAAAATTAGCTCTCCAGGGAGAATTTAAAAACGCAATAAAATGCGGGGTATTTCATTTGAAATAACAAAGTTGTGGCTACTTTTTGATTTTAAATGAAGAGAGCCTATTCTAAAATATGAGCATGCATATTTCCATGAATTTCTCTGACTCTCGATATAGAAATAGTGTAAGCTCGTCGTGACATACCCTGTATATATATGTATGATATTGTAAGAATATTTCCTGTATTAGTTGAGCAAGTAAATTCCTCTGCTGGCTCTCAAAGATCATAATTAATTTGAGTTTTTCAAGAATAATGAATTCAATTGTGATACTTAAATTGGCATTAAAAGACATTTCAACGTATAAAATTAAATTTTATTCAACTTCTGTATATATAGACAATTAGAAATATAATGGTATTCTTTCAATTTCAATACACCTCGTATGTTTCTAATAAATTCATTTGAGATAATTCATAAGTTGACTCATAAATATAATACTGATTTGCTAGTAAACTAGGGCAAGTAAAGTTTTTTTGAGATCTGACGATACTTCTTCCTGGAAATAAAAAAACATTGACATAAATAAACGATTTATTTTTAAAATATTCGAGAAATAATGAGTATTCGATAACATTCATGGACACGAATCAATACGTAATGAAATAACAAACAGAAACATTCAACCAACAATAGCCAGTAAAGTTTTTTTGTAGTCTCCCGATGTGTCATCCTGAAAATGAAATATTCTCATATAATTCTAAACCGACTTCATGGAAACATCAACAAAACTTCACAAAACACGTATGTTCCGTCTCCTAACCGAATTATAAATTGAATTCTTCAACTTACAGCTATCCTCTCTGCCAAACTCTTCCCATATTTAGCCTCATAGGCTTCTTTGATATCGACCAAATCCATTTCTGATCTCCCCACTACTATCCTTATCAGTGTCCTATCATCAGTTCCAATTCCAGCCATGGAATCGTGCAGCCTTTTCGCCAAATACAAGGTCCTATCCCTTACGCAAGCAATCAGGTCCAACATGGCATCCTTGATGTTACCTGTAACGAGGGGAATACCTCAAGGATCTGTTTCGGGCCCACTCACAATGATGACCTTGGTAAATGAGCTACTCACCTGAGAATTCATTTTCTATGGCGGTTTCGATGGAATGGCCAACTATTTCCTCGTATTTATCGAAGATGACGTTGAGTTGACGTCGATTTCTTTGGCAGAGGACTGCTGTGAAGGTAGATTCTTCAGTTCCAGCAAAGAGGAGTTCTCCAGCTTGCAAGAGGTTTTGGGCATCTGTGAAGGCAGCATCTTCATCTATCAAGTTGGATTCGTCTCTGTTGCCCTGAAATAGTAATTCATCATACAGGGAAAAAAGTATTAGATTGCAGATCGAGGTTGTGTAGTCTCCCGACGCGAAGCGGAGGGAAACAAAATACCGTGAGCTAAAATCAAATATTTGTCCGGTGTGTAATACACTATTTTTCTCTGTAACGGGAAAAAATTGATATTGAGAAGATTTGTTCTATTTTTTTTTTGTGGAATGGGAGATAAAAAGGACTTTTAGTTCGAACTGGCACAATAAAAGGAATCATCAACAGTGGGCACCAATATATAAATCACGTTTCTCCGATGGAAAAAAGTAATTTTATGAAAAGTGACATTTTGTAACCTGTCAACAGAGATGTCATTTTTTTTCGTCACAGAAAAAACAAAATTATGCTATATATAACGTGTTGTTTAGCATAGAGTAGTTCTTTTGTCAAATTCATCAAGAAACAATCAAGTGAGATACTCACAGTTGATAATCCCACTAATAACCTCTTCAGAGTACCAGATGTATCACTTTTGATATCAGCTTCTAGGGATGTTTGATACACTGGAACAAAAAGGAATATGAACTCTCCACAAAGGTCTTATGTATGATGATTATAATAATACTGAAATCATTCAAGATCACACAGAATGATATAAGATAGGGATGGAAGTGACGTTTTTATGGTTAGATAGTGAATTACTGTTTTCCTATTGAGTTATAGTCACTTTACTTACATCCTTCGTATTCGTCTGCTATCCTCACAACTTCATCATTATTGTGTACTCCTAAGATCTCCACTATGGTACTTTCGTCTGTTCCCAAACCACTGATAGCCTTGTGAAGTTGCTTTGCTTGGAATTCTATCGGTTCGGTCATCAAGGCAATTATGACGTCTTCAAAATTTCCTCTGAGTTCGCTTTTCAGTTCTTTGATCAAATCCTAAAAACATTTATTATAATTATTATATACAAGGGAAAAAAGTAGTAGACTTTAGCTCCAGGTTGTGTTGCCTCCCGACGCGTAGCGGAGGGAGACAAACAACCGTGAGCTAAAATCTAATATTTTTTCAGTGTATAATTCACTATTTTTTTCTGTGACAGAAGAAAGGATGAATCAATATTGAGAAGATATTACATTATTTTGAAATCTGAAAATTATCGACGTGAAATTTTAAGTTTTTAACAGTAGGGACACCTGCGTTCTTTTGAAGTAATCAAATATCTGATGTCACTTCTGTCAGTCTAATTCTGTGATTTGATTTCAAAAAATTGCGAATTCAGTGGTTTTTTAGAAATATACGTAACCGCGAAGTCGAATGGAAGATAAAAGGACTTGCAGTTCTTTCTCGGAGACGGTATTATTGGCTCTTTTTTCGGAACTATAGCACAACAAAAGCAATCAACAGTGTATATATATATGTGATAAATATCCGGGAAAATAGTACTCACTTTTTCCACACGGGAAAAAAGTAATTCATGAAAAGTGACATTTTATAACCTGCCAACAGAGATGAAATGCCAAACTTTTTTCCCGTCACAGAAAGATAGATTATTATTCGAAAAAGTTCATCTTGGATTACTATATGCGATGAATTTCATGAAAAATTTATTGTGGACTTTCGAGAAAAATCAATGACTAATTGTGATAGCATTCAGTCAGAATATACGCTGTGGATACACGGAGAAAAATTACTTATTGTATCAAAAAACAAATTGTGTTTAGATCATTGTTGTTGAGCTGTATCTACGAAAAGTTCATTTATGTTTGATTGAATAAGATGCTGATGAATTCGCTTTGGAACAGACTGTTTCATTTGCTTGATTGCAAGAACATCTCATACTTGCTCAATGATTCACTTTTTCCATAATATTGCATCACAAAAAATACAATTGAATAAACAGTGGTACATTGATGTACACTCGTATTCAGTGAAAATGTCGCGGTTGGACGGTATGAGCGCTCTTATTGCAGCGGTGATTGAGAGAGCTGACATCATCCATGTGCGACATGTTCTCTGAAGACGACTGTACAAAGTGATATATAATTCTTGTAGCTTTTGTGACACGATGGAAATTAATAGAGGAATTACCACAAATTCAAAATATCGATTATGTATATTATACATGGTGTGAATGAAAAAGCAGTGCAGAAATTTCTTGTCATATAAAAAGTGTAGATAAACCCTTGTCTCGTTTGTGAGATGATTCAGTTGAAGGTATTGTTTTTTAGGAGTTTCGATGGTGACAGAATTCAGCGGAATTGATGGCTTACAGAGTAATCTCGATGAATTTGTAGTTTAATCGAATTATTATGGTAACACACGGAAAAATAAAGTTGTATTTTCAATAGTTAAATCTAATAAAAATATGAAACTCAGAAAAACCAGTTGCGTACAATGATATTGACCATAAATATTGATGAGGTTTATTCACTTCGACGAAACTGAAATTATTAATTCAGATCTAATGACAGACACCAAGTCCCATTGAAAATAATGAATCATACCCTGTATTTAATGTTATAGTCGTTTGATATTTTCAGAACCGGTGGTTTTTGTGGGGAAGAGGTCAACATCCCATTCTCCATCCCATATATTTTTTTTGTATGTGAGATTTCCAATTATTGGAGTAAGTCCTTACCACAACTGATTTCATATCAAAGGAAATTCCTAAAAATACAGATAAAGCAGTGTTTATGTATTTGTTATTCAGCATCAGTAATGACGTTGATTTCATAGTAGGTATATTCATAAATGTTTTAATCTTCACATGTCTACGTTTAATGATAACATTATCTCGACATATTCTTTATTGTGTGCAATAAATTCTGCACTAAAATACTATTGTATTAACTCGCAACAATATGGATGATAAAATATTTCAGAATAGAAGTAATAGATTCTGGAATGAATCGTGAATTTTCCGTGCTAACACATTGATTTGGGTGTGGTTCTTCCCAATCAACTGATTTATTTTGTAGGGTGAAAATAGCAATAACCACACATCGAAATCAGTTACCCACCTTGCCATACATGGTTTTGAATCTAGTTGCTATTGCTCTACGTTGTTCGTTGCTTCTTTTGGTAATAATTTCAATAACTGCTTCTTCGTCTGTACCGAAGCCTTTGAAAGCTTGTTTGAGAGCTTTGGCATCTTCTTCGTCATCGAAATTTTCACAAGGGAATACTGTTGGCTGCAAAAATATCCATTATAAAGATCCTTTTTCGTGTTAGTCATCATCAATGATATGAATAACATAACACTAAAACAAACTACTGAGTAAGTATACCTAGATAATAAGATGACTTTAGTCATCGGCCATATATGGATGAATCAGCAGTGAATTTACAGGGTGTTTTAGATTCATCACAATGGATTTGATTATGATGAATCTAGTTACGCAAAAAAAAAATTCCATATTGAAAACAAATCTGCTAAGTTAAACAACAATCAGCTGAGCAGATTTTGAGTACCCTGTGAATAAAAAGATATCGTTCGAAAAACTGCTTGTGCATACAGGGTGTACCGTATTAAGACCACGTCAAATCTAGTTACGCAAAAAATACATTTTCATATTGAAAACAAATCTGCTAAGTACAACAACAATCAGCTGAGGAGTTTTTGAGTACCCTGTGAATAAAAAGATATCGTTCGAAAAACTGCTTGTATATACAGGGTGTACCGTAAAGAGCACGTCATATCTAGTTACGCAAAAAAATACATTTTCATATTGAAAACAAATCTGCTAAGTACAACAACAATCAGCTGAGGAGTTTAAGAGTGCCCTGTGAATAAAAAGCTATCGTTCGAAAAACTGCTTGTACATACAGGGTGTACCGTAAAGACCACGTCGAATCTAGTTACGCAAAAAAATACATTTTCATATTGAAAGCAAATCTGCTAAGTTAAACAACAATCAGCTAAGGAGTTTTTGAGTACCCTGTGAATAAAAAGATATCGTTCGAAAAACTGCGTGTACATACAGGGTGTACCGTAAAGACCACGTCAAACCTAGGGAGAATGTGCTATGACAGAATTCCCATTATAAAATTCTTACCGTTTTCGAGATATTTTTTTGTTTGAAAATATTGAATTTTCGCCCCTTTCAATAGTTTTGTCTGTAGGGTTGGTACAATTTTACACCTTTTTGGTTAATTTTTTCAGTAAATATTGCTGAAGAATGATTTTAACGTATACATTAATAACATTCTCCGAACATTCTAAAGGGTGGTTGTCAGAAACGGTTTTATCGAAAACATTGGTAGTGGATATTTTCGAAAAAAAATAACTCGAAAACGGTGAGACTTTCATAATGGGAATTTTTGTAATATGCAATAAGTGGATTATCCCTGGATCTATATGCTCCCTAGGTTTGACGTGGTTTTTACGGGACACCCTGTATATCTAAAGAGAAGCTACCAAACATGAACTTCTCTTCAAATTTTTACAAGTTGCCTAATGAATTCAGTTGATACTAGCTTAATATGAGACCGGTGATAACTAATTTGATATGATGGTCAGACCGGTATAAAAAATAGATACAAATATGAAATTTCGGATGACATCGGTCCACTAACTGTTCAATAAAATTCCTATATCTTCCTGAAGTGAACTCACTAAAAATTCACAAAATCTACACTTATTGCACTGTTAATGAAGAGAAAGTCGATAAGACACAGTCTAGTGGGTCCCTCCAAATAATTCACTATAAAAAGATGATGTCGTTGGTCGTAGATGATACGTTGATGATGTTGAAATTTTGATGTATTCGTGAATTGGTCTATAGTTTCTTCTGGTACAATTGAAGTAAACTCAATTCAACCTTAGTAGTGATATGTTTCTAAGTCATAGGTAAAGGATAAATGTAGGTACTTACTGCCATTGTAGTTGAGAAACTTATTTAGAAACGTGGGTTTATAGATGTTTCAGTGCCAAGAGACCAGCGTTCACTGTCTGTAGAATTCACTAATTTAGATTTGGTGCATGCGCACCAAGCAAGAATATGTGTATAAAGGCGATACGAATAATTTAATGGGTATTACTTTAGCACAACCACAGCATTTCTCTTGTTTCCTTTTACTCTCATATCAAAAGTTAATTTCATTTTTTATTCATGATGAGGGCATGACAATATCCTGCATGATTTGACCGTTAGATGACTACATCGAGCTATTCCAGCGAGCACAGACATCTCTGGGATGTTTTGGGATGTTTTGAAAATGTTGGCATGAAGATGTTTTTTGGGACCTAATATGCACTTCCCAAAGAGGTCTTTGAAGGATATTGAAGTATTGTTTTTGTTCATTATTCCGGATGTTTTGGGATTTTCTCTCCTCGTTTTCATGAAATAAAAAGATGAATATTATTTCAATATAGTAGTAAGGACAAATCAGATCTTTTGCCCAAAAATGTCACTGAGTTCAAAGAATTTTCTAACAGAGAGCCTGAAAGAAGAATTCACTAGCCTATCAGTGACAATTTGTATTGAAAAAAGTTTGGAGAAGAGAAATAGAAAAGATATTGCCAACGTCATCAATTGTCTTTGAGAACTGAAAAGTGTTGGGACAAATACGAATTTGCGATACAAAAAATCCATTTTTTATGCTGAAAAATAATGAATGTACCACTTCCTCGATTAACCTACAGACAGTATTGTTTTTGTTCTTCTGTGTCATTTCTTGCCTACTGAGATGTATCCCTGATGAGATGATTTGAGATGTTTCAAAAATTTAGGCATCTGGATGTTTTTTTTGAGACGTGATATGCATTCTCAGAGGAGGTCTTTGAAGGATATTGAAAGTATTGTATTTGTTCTTCCATGGCATTTCTCTGTTTGCCTACTGAGGAAGTATTCCCGGGATGTTTTGGGATGTTTCAAAAATGTTGGCATGAGGATGTTTTTTGAGACGTAATATGCACCTCCCAAAGAGGTCTTTGAAGGACCAGGACACTCTGGTATCCCGGGAAACGAGGAGGCAGACAGACTAGCCAAGATCGGTTCAGGAACGACACCCATTGGACCAGAACCGATATTGGGAATACCCAATAGTACGGCTATGTCCTTCATGAAGGAAATGCTATACTGAGGCAGTTCCTTGAAACATGGCGGGACACACCAGGAATGAGACAATCAAAGCTCCATATGAAGGAACCTTCAAAAAGGCTCACGAGAGAGATCCTGTCACTTAATCGAAGGGATCTCAAGATGGTAGTTGGGCTTTCAACTGGGCACAACCACCTCAACAGGCACCTAGAACTCATAGGGATCAAAGATGATCCCATCTGCAGATGGTGCTTGGAGGATGATAAAACATCATCACACATACTCACTGAATGCCTCGCGCCTCTGAAAGCATTGTACTGCACCCAAAGAATGTGAAAGCGACTCAGCTGAGGAAGCTGCTGAATTTCGTCAAATAAATCGGCATGCCCAACTGATTCACAGGACAAGTGGGCGCACAATGGGCAGAGAAGAATAAGAAGAAGAAGAGGTCTTTGAATGATATTGGGAGTATTTTTTCTCAGGAAATCGGGTGAAATGCTTTGAGTTATCTTGTTTACTCTTTGCAACTATATTGGCAGCCTTGTAAAATCAATGAACATGCATTTTAAAAAAGTTCTCCTATATCCAAAGTCAATTATTGTTGTGATCAAAATGAAGACCATTTTGGAAAATTTGTTTAAAACGAAGCAATAACATGCGGAAATATCTCACTGAGTGTTATTTTTTTTTTGAAAAAAAAAACGAAAGAACAATTTCTTCGACTTCTCACCACTTTAATTGTGCTGTATGTGTGGTTTTGTGTTGTGTTCTGATCAGGAAAAATAGAATATAAAGGTGAAAGGTGACGGCGGATTGTTAATAATTATTTGAACTTCTTCGCATTCTTATGTAGATCACCCTGAGGATTCTGAAGATACGACTTCCTATGGTTTATACATTGATATAGGCTAGGTAAAACTGCATTCATCATGCGATGGGTTTTTTTCCGAAAATTTTATTTGGTACTTCACGTATTTTTGTCTGGAAAACCCGAATTTGATAATGAAAATGTGAACAAACCATTATTCATTGAGATATTTGACTATAAAGTTACAAATTTCACCTTCTTTTCCGATTGTCTTCTGGATGGCATTTAGAACAATTTGCCCTTATGGCCCTTATTTTTTCATCATTGGACAATTTATATATATCACAATGTACGACACATTTTTTTCTATGATATAAGTCAACTAGAAATATGATTTTCTTGAGATTTATCCATATTTAGTGAAAAGAAGGAAGAATATCATTTAAAATAATGGCGTGTGTAATGCCATTTCAAAGCAATCTATTGACATTTGACATCTCGTATGTGGATTGACTATTGATTGAAAAATGGACGTCATCTGGTAATCTTGTTCACTAAATATGAAAAACTCGCCATAAAAATCATATTTCCTATTGAATTTTCTATATAAATACAGGGTGTCCGAAAAGGTTTTTACTATTTCTCAGATATATTTCTCGAGAACTTCTAGGAGTGGGGGGATCTGGCCAGTTAAAATCGTGAGAGCGTCTCTTGGAATTTCAGTGACAATGGAGCCATACACAGGGCCGCAACGCGCTTTTTGTGTAGAAGCATTTTACGAAAACAACCATTCTTTCATCCAATCATTGGTCCCTTTTTTTGAAGATGCATATCATCGCACTGTTACTGTGAATTCTGACCGCTATAGGGCAATGCTGGAAAATTTTCTTGAACCAGAATCGCAAAATTCCGGTGGCTTCAACCATAACACCTGGTTTCAGCAAGATGGGGCAACTGCTTACACTGCGGATCTCTCCATGCAGGTCATTCGAAGGATGTTTCCAGGAAAGGTCATATCGAAAAATGGTGACATCAATGATCCTCCCAGAAGTCCCAACTCAACTGTCATGGATTTTTTTTATTGAGGTTTCTTAAATCAGTGGTGTACACTGAAATTCCTGCTAATCTAAATCAGTTGAAGCAAATAATTCGCCATGAAATTCGAGCAATTCCACAACAACTCTGTGTCCGCGTGTTTGCCAATATCAGAGAACGTTTGGAGATGACGGTGCACGTTGGAGGACAGCATCTTGACGGCATGATTTTTCACAAATGAATTTCCACATTTTGCAGTTGTTTTAACAGCACTAAATTTTTACTAAATTTTGAACTGCATGAGTTATTATATTTTCAAATAGAAAAAACCTTTTCGGACACCCATTATGTGTCATTGAAGTACATCATGAGTATACAGTCTGTCCAAGATAAGGTTGCACAGCATGGGGATCTCGGAAATGGTAGGAGATACGAAGTCGATTGAATGGGGAAAAAGTTGTGCATTCGGAGGCTCATACCAACAGCCTTCGAAAATCTTCAAAATTTTCTTTAATTTTTCAGTTATATCGAAAAAAGTGAATTTTTGGAATCTCCATTTTATTTTTTTTCTCCGTTATTATTAGAGATACAGGGAAACTAAAAATATTTTTTCATAGCAACTTTTGATGACGTTTAACGTGGTGATACCGATTTTTCAATGCGACGTTTCGTATTCGTAGAACCATCATCAACTTTTGTTTTTTAAATACGGCCCTGATAATTCTTTCACAGATTCTGAAAGCTTTTTTATTCTGAATTCAACCATGTATCATTCAAGGTGGTTTGAATGTGTTTCGAACTATTTTTAGCCATCATCAATGTTTTTTTCGAAATTCCAAAGGAAAAATGCCATCGGTTCCACTTATTTTGAAGGAAAATTAGCCAACAAACTAATACCTCATCAACTAGTTCCGATTGATAGACTTATAGAAATAATTAGTTCGAAAAATTTAATTATGACAAGCTCCTTCGAATTAAAATATGAATACAATTCATAAACAATTCGAAGCGCTGCATTGAATAATTTAGTGGATTTTTTTTTCACTTTTCAGTATTGAATAACTAGTCCATCAATGTTTGATACTGAATAATCAGAAATAAGTGAAACTGATGGCATTTTTCCTTTGGAATTTCTAAAAAAACATTTATGATGACTAAAAATAGTTCGAAACACATTCAAACCACCTTGTATAATACATGGTTGAATTCAGAATGAAAAAAGCTTTCAGAATCTGTGGAAGAATTATCAGGGCCGTATTTAAAAAACAAAAGTTGATGATGGTTCTACGAATACAAAACGTCGCATAAAAAAATCGGTATCACCACGTTAAACGTCATCAAAAGTTGCTATGAAAAAATATTTTCAGTTTTCCTGTATCTCTAATAATAACGGAAAAAAAAATAAAATAGAGATTCCAAAAATTCACTTTTTTCGATATTACTGAAAAACTAAAAAAAAAATTGAAAATTTTCGAAGGCTGTTGGTATGAGCCTCCGAATGCGTAACTTTTTCCCCATTTAACCGACTTCGTATCTCCTACCGTTTCCGAGATCCCCATGCTGTGCAACCTTATCTTGGACAGACTGTATAAAGTGTCCAATGACAAAATGAGAAGAGCAAATGCATCCAACACAAGGGGAGAAAGAAGGCGAAATTTTGAACTTTTCATTGAAATATCTCGATAAATATTGGTTTGTTCACATTTTCATTATCAAATTCGTACCAAAAGTACCAAAAAAAATTGTCGAAAAAAAACCATCGCATGATGAATGCAGTTTTACCTAGGCTATTTTGCTTCATAATGGTGACTGAGATAAAAAAAATAATCTGCACATCCTCATTTTTTTTTCCTTTTTTATTTGAACGTAGGCTGTCAGCTTCGACAATGGACCTATTGTTTTGAAGCTTCCCCTAACGGGAAGGGTGATTGTGGCCCTAATTGTGATATTAAAACATCTCTTTTCCGAGCCATCCAGACGATTATCTCGTTTTCAATTTAACTTTTACTAGGTCAAACACCGACAATGGCCCCTGGAATACCTGCCCATTGTAATTTTCAGCATTAACTGCTCATTCAACAGACTTGACATATACACGCCTCTATTTGCAGAGCACAATTGCCAATTGTGAGAATAGATCGCACCTGTGAAAGACCTGTCTCTTTGGAAAAAACGAAGAAAAAATGCTATTTTACCGGCGTGGGAACTGTGATGCAATACGTCAAAGTGTAGAATGGATTTTTCCGTATCTGAAAGCTTTTTTCGTGGATTTTTTGTTGTTATGAATGATGGAGGACAATCGGGAGTCATTCTGGATGGATGGATTTTTTATTGGGGGCGTTTGAATGGAAATATTTCAAAATATTATACATAATGTAGGTATGAAAAATGGTTGAGAAATGAGAACAATCGATAGCCACACATATGAATTCAGTACCTAACTTGAAAACATAAAACTAATCGGAGAATGATGAGGACATACAGGGTTAGTCAGGACTGTCAGGAGGAACTGTACATATACTCCTACCACGAATAGGGACCCTTGAGGGTAATGTCTATAATGACCATCAGAAAGTGTCTTCTTCTCTTCTTTACCAATATATAGGGTGAGATTTGGCAGGAACATCTTTTGAGCATAACTTTCCAACAGGTTGTTCGATTCGTCTGATTTTTTTTGGATATTCCTCCACTATAAACCCTAATCAACTGATAGATTTTGAAAATATAAATTGAGATCTTTGTTTTGATTATAATATTTTTGTCTCATGTAATTTCAACGTCTCTGCAACCGTTATCGAGAAAAAAATCATTTTGTTTTATTTGCTAGATTAAATTGAAGTTTTCATGGAAAGGGCGGAATCCTCAAAAACGTTACATATTTATTTCTAGTCTCAATTACAAGTTTCCAAACACTACCCGAGAAATAATAAACCTTTACGAACCGTGAGTTATTATAAATGGTACAGAAAAATAAAACAATCTTGAAACTTTAACGCTTCGTATAGATCGGTAACCAAGCAATTATATTTGATATATTTACCTATAGGAAAAAAGTCTTATTTTGACCTGAGAAATGAGTTCTTGAAATCTGTTTAGCGAATTTTGAAATACCCTGTATATCCTATATCCTTTGTAAAAATTTTTTCAATGTGTGAGTTCTAGTTATTTTTTTCTTTCAAGAAGACTTTGTATTTTACACTCGACCTTTCCTTGAAATCTCGAATTCAAAGGATAGTCTAGTAGACTACGAAATTTTGTGCATTCGTGAATTTTCGTTCTACCAATAGTTGAAATACTTTTTCTTGATCTTCTGTTATTCAATGTGTTGGTATACAGGGTGTATCTATATAACACCGAAAAAAATCAAGGGATTTGTCCTTGTGATATTCTAGCAAATAAAGTGCATACAAACATGTGTCCTAACTTGCTTCGTCTTCGAGATACAGGATGTTGAAGTTGGAAGTAATAATTGTTTTTATTTATAACCCCCTGTATAAGCTCTCATAGTGCCACAATTCAGGATGATTGGAGACTGAGGAAGCACCAACATTTTAAAATGATTTCAATTGGGGTTGAAACACCTACATCAAAATTTGGAGTCAAATCGAATTTTTATTCTTTCCTCAACAACTAAGCTAGATACAAAAAATGTAGTGAATTTCATTGAAAAATGTTGATGGGTATGTTATGGGTAACAACATTAGTTTCCATAACATGCCAATTTTTGTTATTATTTCTGGCATATTCAGAAAAGAAAGAGAAAATTGTCAACAGAAGTGAAGAAAATCATTGATACTGATAGACATTCGCATTCATAACACAAATTATTCTCTATAGAATAGTACCATTCCGTAATAAAGTAATGAATCTTCCACATAAATACCATTCTAGAAATAATCAATATTGTTAATTATTCACCATGTACACAGTTAGGTCTCGTTACTATGGAAATCCGAGGTATTATTGAAATAGCTCTAGCAACACCATAAAAAGTCCCATTGATCAATCTTGTCACAAGTGTAAAAATTCAAATAGAATCACAACAAAAAACCAAAATGTCTCATCTGGACTTAGTCGCTGACCACTCCAAAGAAAAATTAACAGTTGTTCCCAAAATTGTGATGGACATGACCAATCTGAAAATGCTTTTTCTTGAAGGAAATTTTCTAACCAGGTAGCTTTTTTCAGATCACTCAAAATAATGCTACTCAAGGTAACTAAATAACCGTTGCTATTCAGGTTACCAGATGATATTTTCTGGAAATTACCAAGACTGATGTGGCTGGATTTGAGAAACAACGTACTGGAATATGTACCAAGAAGTATAGCACATCATGAGCACCTGGAAAACCTGCTGTTGACCAACAACAACTTGCAAGCCCTTCCAAACGAACTTGGTAAGTGTATACAGGGTCGGGCAATTTGTGACTAAACCAGGGGAGTATTTTATTCTACTATCAAGAATATATGATTTCTGGTAAAACTGCATTTATTATGCGATGTTTTTTTTTTCATAAATATTTTTCTGATACTCACGTATTTTTGTCTGAAAAACACGAATTTGATAATGAAAATGTGAACAAACCATTATTTATTTAGATATTTCACTATAAAGTTACAAATTTCACCTTATTCCTTTGCGATTGTCTTCTGGATCGTATTTAGAATAATTTACCCCTCTCTTTTCATCATTGGACAATTTATACAGGGTGTTTTAAAAAAACCTAACCCCCTTGCTAGGGTGGTTAGAACATTGCAAAATAAGTTGGGTTTGTTCAGTGAAAAAATGTCGTAACGGCATCCGTTTTCATGATACAAGGTGTTGAAAGAATTATTTTTTCACACATTTTTCACGATTATTCCGAAACTACTGGCAACATTGTAATGAAATCATGTATGGATGTTTCTTGAAATCCGACACATCGCATGAATTTGTTTTTATATCTGACTCTCATAGAGGGCGCTAGTTACATGGTTCGTACCGAGTAGTTTTGAACATAACTTTTTTGAGGTTAGATTTTTCAATCCAAATATGATATGAACTTGAACATCATTCAATTTTACACCAAAAAGGTACTCTTGGTGAAACTCGATACTATGTTCCGTTTTCGGAATATTTCGATTTGAAAATAATGGAATAGTAATGATACTGGTATAAAATGAATTTTATTGAGTTCAATTACCTATTTATTCAGGTTCAAAAACAATGAAATTATTCTTGTGCTGAAGTTATTGATGGAACAAAGAATCATAAGTAGAAAATTAAGAGATATTTGACTAGAAACATGAAATATTGAATCAGTTAAGTAAGTGTTCAAAATGTCCTACGTTTCGAGGAATACACGATTCTATATTCTTTTTTTAAGAATGAATTATTCTTCTGAAAAGTTGAGGATCAGCTGTTAGGTCATTTAAATGATGTTCAATTATTTCTCACAACTCTTGACGTGAATTTACCTATGTAGCATAGACTTTCTGCTCAAGATACAACAAAACTGTGTAATCCATGTTCTCAGTCAAATCTGTTTCGATGTTATTCTTGTGATTCATTGTTAAATCAATGAGTTTTGCATCAGAAATGTATCGTTGTTTTCGGTTTTCAATAAATAGTTGATAATTTTTCATAATACTCACTCTAATACATAGCTTTATACCAGCAACAGTTACCACTTCATCATTTTCAAATCGAAATATTCCGAAAACGGAATACAGTATCGAGTTTCACCAGGAGTACCTTTTTGGTGTGAAATCGAATGATTTTCAAGTTTACATAAAATTCAGATTGAAAAATCTAACCTCGAAAAAGTTCTGTTCAAAACTTCTCAGTACGAACCGTGTAACTAGCGCCCTCTATGAGAGTTAAATATAAAAACAAATGCATGCGATGTGTCAGATTCCAAGAAACATCCATACAAAATTTCATCACAATGTTGCCAGTAGTTTAAACATAATCGTGAAAAATGTGTAAAAAAATATTGTTTCAACACCTTGTATCTTGATAACGGATGGCGTTACGACATTTTTTTACTGAACAAACCCAACTTATTTCGCAATGTTCTACCTACCCTAGCAAGGGGGTTAGGTTTTTTCGAAACACCCTGTATACAGGTTTGATAATGTGTCAAATGTTATTTTTTCGGATAGGTTTGGTGCCTAAACTGAAAGCTCTACAAGTATCGGAGAACCCCTTGGTCTATCCTGGTAGAAAAATTATCGTCGAAGGCACCAAAGCTATAAAGAACTATCTTAGAGAACAGTTCGAAATACTTCATCCGAAGGTTGTTCCCACCTCAGAAAAAGCCAAATCTGAAGACGAAGAAGAAAGAGTACTCAGCATAGTTGAAACAGCTAGCTGCGATGCAATCCTGGAGAAATCTGACAGCTCATCCAGTAAAGAATCACTTCCAGAAGGTTAACCTCCTATCCGACTAAGTAAAGTTGAAAGCTATGTTGATGCAATGTCGAGGCAATTACTGAAAACGGACGTTCAGCAATATTGCAAAGGTGAAGTTTGATAATGTAGCAATATCACATGTTGCTGTGACATTGCTGGAATGTTACATTTACAAATTCATATTTGCAATGTTGTTGAACGTCCTTTTCTGTAACTAACACCTTGCATTAACATAGCTTCCAATTTTGCTCAGTGGAATATTTTCCTCAAACTATTGTTATTCTTATGAACAGTATGTCCCATTTTCGATATCCTTACGTGATATTTCACATTCATTTGAAATTGTTCGCCAATGTTGACTACTTTTTCGTGGAATTCACAATAACGCGAACAAAATTTCCATATAAGCGGCTTCGTTTTTGAGATACAGAGAATGAAAACATTGCATTTTGCGCTTCCCCTGTATCAGAGCTACCATTTTTTGAACTATGATAGGAAAAAAATCAACAGTAGTTTGAAGAACTGAAAAACATATGAAACATATGAAAGCACTATACTTTTCAATTCTAATTGAATAAAATGGAAGAATGGCTTTACTCCAATATTCTTTCTCTTAATTCTGATGAGATAAGATATAAAACTTTCCATCAGAGAAATGAACAAAATATTAATTTGAATATAAGAACAAAAAATTGAAGATTGAAACGAACTCCCTATACCAAATCAACTTTATGCAGAAACATATACATTTCCTTTGGAAGAACACTATCTGATAAATACTCTCGAAAATTTCTTTTCATATCATCAACAAAGACCTCAAATCTAACTTCATATTGGTAAGGAATTCTCAAATCCATGGACATCATACTAGACAATATGACTTGTTTCATCTTGATGCTGCTAATTCTACACTTGGCCAAAAAGAGTTCACTCACGGAGGTATCTCAAAATTCAATAAATGACCTGATGGTATCAAAAGTTGCTCAAATATCACCCAATTCAAAATTGAAGTCAAGAAACATGTCCTCTTGCAAAGAGAAAATCAAACCTGAGTGAATGATTTCTCATTCACTAATTTATTTCATCATGTCATAGTGTAGTTTTCATGAGATTTTTGTTTTTTATTATCATCATTTTTGTATCTGTTGTTTATTTCAATTACTTAGATTCAAAAACGTAAGAATAATCTTATACCAGATATGAATCTGTCTGATTATTCATGTTATTTCATTGTAAATCTTAATAAAATATATTTATATTTATATGAGATGCAATGTAATGTGTATAACAAAGAATGAAATAAATATTATCATCATTATAAAATCTAGTAGCCATGAACCATGACGTCGTTATTTTTATTCATTTATTTATTTCAGTTATTGCATTATATTCTCTTCTTCATTGATACATTTCATACAAATAATATATAAAGTATAATTAATTTTCTAGTAGGAATGACATGAATGATCAGACAGTAATTCCTGGTATAAGATCATTCATGAAGTATTATCGACTGTTGTATGATTGAAATTACAAATAGTGAACAAAACTCACATATCATTAAGCTATCTCAAAATAACAGTCATATTATGAAAAAAAAAGGAAATTCATAGTCTTTCAGCTTTGATCATTCCTTTGCATATAAATATATTTCTCCACTTTATTTTTGGATTGTATAATATTTGGGCTGTTTTTGATGTCATCTGGTAATTTATTGAATTTCGAAATCACCTCATGTGTAATTTTTTTTGTCCAAATTTAGAATTTGCAGCTTCAAGATGAACCAAGTTATATTGTCTAGTGTGATGATCATGAATTTCGGAATTCCTAATTAATATCAAATTTGATTTAAGCTTTTTGTTGACGATATAATAGGAAATTTTGAGAGTATTGATTAAAAAGTGCTCTTCCAAAGAAAATGTGTTTGTTTCCTTATACAGTTGATTCGTTGAAGTATCATATGGAAGACGATACAATACTTTCAATGCCTTTTTATATAGAACAGAAATTTTGTTGAAGCTGTTTTTGGAACAAGATCCCCAAATATTTATGGGATAGTTTATTCGATTGAGTATATGTGAATAGAGAATAATATTTGATGTATATGTACTAAGTTTAGGACATCTTCTTAAAGCACCAATAATGGGAGATACTTTTCTGAGGATGTTGATATGCTTTTCCCATGTTAATTCCTCATCAATCCAAATACCAAGGTATTTGGTATGGGCAGTTTGTTTCAAATGTTCATTTTTATTCTTATATTAAGATCAATATTTTGTTTATTTCTTTGATAAATACCTTCTAGAATCGAGTGCCATTCCTGCATAAGAACAGTGAATTCGGGTTGATTATATCAGAGGTGGCTATGTTTTTATTGACTATAGTGGTTTATGAAATGTAGCTCGGGAAGTATCACATCATAGTTGTCACTGTAACTATGAAAATCTTGGTAGATAAGGTTTTGATAAATACAGATGATAATTACCATAGCAGTGAAATATCGACTGACAACTATTTGACATGAAATTAGTTGACATTTGGATTTGCGAAAGTTTGGTTGCAATTATCACAATAAACTATCGGAAGCAGCAGCGACAGTGAGTTCGAAAATGTCCATACGAAATTTCCAAGGTATTCTGTTCAAATTTCAGTATGTGATACAAATAAGAATCAATAAAGAAGAAATTGTATTCCACAAAGAAATATAATATGAAAATGTGTCTCATTGAATTGTTATTCTACATATGGTTGCCGAAAAAATTGTGTACGCAACATGTCCAAAAACATTTTTTTTCGCCTACGGCTCGGCCTTGAATTTTGTCTACTCGTCCAAAAACAAACAGTATATTCCGGACTCATTACGTGAATTACAATTATTTGCAGGGCCTGAAATGAGACGTTCTGATCCCTACTATCTCCAGCCACCTTTTCAAGTCAAAAAACTGCAACATCCAACGAACGTGCGGAAAAAGAAGCTGGAAGAACCGTTGAAGATTGTCCACAAGGTCAGCAGGAATGGCTCCAACAGAATATTGCTGAGGTCCTCCTTCAACAGGATCAGAGATCCGATGAGGGCCGAGGGAAAACTTCGACAGAAATCGCTCAAAGAGGGGTGGCTCAATCAACTGAGGATATTATTGAGTGACCAAGAAAGAATTTTGCAACAAGAAAGGTTCATGTTTCTTCTTATATTACACACCGCAGTATGACGGAAAACAGCTCAATTAGGTTTCCGAATTGAATGAAATCGAAATTTTATTAAATGTCAATATTTTGGCGGACTCTTGACAAAACGAATTCACCAATTTTTGAAATTTGGCGGAGGAATCAGTAACATCGTTATTCGTTCGATTAGAAACACAAATGTGTATAGATTCGGAATCCTCGTGGAATTTTACGTCGATCTAGATGATTCTCAATGAGAAATTCGACAATTTTGGTAACTCGGACAAAAAATTTGTAACTTCGTTATTCGTTCGATTAGAAACACAAATGTGTATAGATTCGGAATCCTCGTGGAATTTTACGTCGATCTAGATGGTTTTCAATGAGAAATTCGACAATTTTGGTAACTCGGCCAAAAAATTTGTAACATCGTTATTCGTTCGATTAGAAACACAAATGTGTATAGATTCGAAATCCTCGTGGAATTTTACGTCGATCTAGATGGTTCTCAACGAGAAATTCGACAATTTTGGTAATAGCCAAAAAATTTGTAACTTCGTTATTCGTTCGATTAGAAACACAAATGTGTATAGATTCGGAATCCTCGTGGAATTCCACGTCGATCTAGATGGTTCTCAATGGGAAATTCGACAATTTTGGTAACTTGGCCAAAAAATTTGTAACATCGTTATTCGTTCGATTAGAAACACAAATGTGTATAGATTCGAAATCCTCGTGGAATTTTACGTCGATCTAAATGGTTTTCAATGGGAAATTCGACAATTTTGGTAACTTGGCCAAAAAATTTGTAACATCGTTATTCGTTCGATTAGAAACACAAATGTGTATAGATTCGAAATCCTCGTGGAATTTTACGTCGATCTAGATGGTTCTCAATGAGAAATTCGACAATTTTGGTAACTCGGACAAAAAATTTGTAACTTCGTTATTCGTTCGATTAGAAACACAAATGTGTATAGATTCGGAATCCTCGTGGAATTTTACGTCGATCTAAATGGTTTTCAATGGGAAATTCGACAATTTTGGTAACTTGGCCAAAAAATTTGTAACATCGTTATTCGTTCGATTAGAAACACAAATGTGTATAGATTCGAAATCCTCGTGGAATTTTACGTCGATCTAGATGGTTCTCAATGAGAAATTCGACAATTTTGGTAACTTGGCCAAAAAATTTGTAACATCGTTATTCGTTCGATTAGAAACACAAATGTGTATAGATTCGAAATCCTCGTGGAATTTTACGTCGATCTAAATGGTTTTCAATGGGAAATTCGACAATTTTGGTAACTTGGCCAAAAAATTTGTAACATCGTTATTCGTTCGATTAGAAACACAAATGTGTATAGATTCGAAATCCTCGTGGAATTTTACGTCGATCTAGATGGTTCTCAATGAGAAATTCGACAATTTTGGTAACTCGGACAAAAAATTTGTAACTTCGTTATTCGTTCGATTAGAAACACAAATGTGTATAGATTCGGAATCCTCGTGGAATTTTACGTCGATCTAGATGGTTTTCAATGAGAAATTCGACAATTTTGGTAACTCGGCCAAAAAATTTGTAACATCGTTATTCGTTCGATTAGAAACACAAATGTGTATAGATTCGGAATCCTCGTGGTATTTTACGTCGATCTAGATGGTTCTCAATGAGTAATTCGACAATTTTGGTAACTTGGCCAAAAAGTTTGTAACTTCGTTCATCGTTCGATTAGAAACACAAATGTCTATAGATTCGGTATCCTCGTGGGATTTTACGTCGATCTAGATGGTTCTTAATGAGAAATTCGACAATTTTGGTAATGGCCAAAAAGTTTGTAACTTCGTTCATCGTTCGATAAGAAACACAAATGTCTATAGATTCGGTATCCTCGTGGAATTTTACGTCGATCTAGATGGTTCTTAACGAGAAATTCGACAATTTTGGTAACATGGCCAAAAAATTTGTAACTTCGTTATTCGTTCGATTAAAAACACAAATGTGTATAGATTCGGAATCCTCGTGGTATTTTACGTCGATCTAGATGGTTCTCATTGAGTAATTCGACAATTTTGGTAAATTGGCCAAAAAGTTTGTAACTTCGTTCATCGTTCGATTAGAAACACAAATGTCTATAGATTCGGAATCCTCGTGGTATTTTACGTCGATCTAGATGGTTCTTAACGAGAAATTCGACAATTTTGGTAACATGGCCAAAACATTTGTAACTTCGTTATTCGTTCGATTAGAAACACAAATGTGTATAGATTCGGAATCCTGGTGGTATTTTACGTCGATCTAGATGGTTCTCAATGAGTAATTCGACAATTTTGGTAACATGGCCAAAAAATTTGTAACTTCGTTATTCGTTCGATTAGAAACACAAATGTGTATAGATTCGGAATCCTCGTGGTATTTTACGTCGATCTAGATGGTTCTCAATGAGTAATTCGACAATTTTGGTAACTTGGCCAAAAAGTTTGTAACTTCGTTCATCGTTCGATTAGAAACACAAATGTCTATAGATTCGGTATCCTCGTGGGATTTTACGTCGATCTAGATGGTTCTTAACGAGAAATTCGACAATTTTGGTAACATGGCCAAAAAATTTGTAACATCGTTATTCGTTCGATTAGAAACACAAATGTGTATAGATTCGGAATCCTCGTGGTATTTTACGTCGATCTAGATGGTTCTCAATGAGTAATTCGACAATTTTGGTAACTTGGCCAAAAAGTTTGTAACTTCGTTCATCGTTCGATGAGAAACACAAATGTCTATAGATTCGGTATCCTCGTGGGATTTTACGTCGATCTAGATGGTTCTTAACGAGAAATTCGACAATTTTGGTAACATGGCCAAAAAATTTGTAACTTCGTTATTCGTTCGATTAGAAACACAAATGTGTATAGATTCGGAATCCTCGTGGTATTTTACGTCGATCTAGATGGTTTTCAATGAGAGATTCGACAATTATGGTAACTTGGCCAAAAAATTTGTAACTTCGTTATTCGTTCGATTAGAAACACAAATGTTTATAGATTCGGAATCCTCGTGGAATTTTACGTCGATCAAGATGGTTTTCAATGAGACATTCGACAATTTTGGTAACTCGACCAAAAAATTTGTAACTTCGTTATTCGTTAGATTAGAAACACAAATGTGTATAGATTCGGAATCCTCGTGGAATTTTACGTCGATCTAAATGGTACTCAATGAAAAATTCGACAATATTTGTAATTTGGCCTGAAAATTTGTAACTATGTATGTATGTTTCAGAAATCTCAGGGCACTGTCAGACTGGCGTCTGAAAAGACGCACCGAAACACCGAAAGTATTTCCACAGGATGTTCCGAAATTAGCGATCCCTTACGGGACGCATCCAGATTACGAGAAAATGCCTACCAGAGAAGAACTGGCTGCCCAATTGAACTCCTTTTTCAAGGAAAAAGGCATAGTGAGAGCTACGAATGGTCGGAGAGGCGGGTTGGATATAGAAAAGTTGGTGAACGATTTGATGCAACAATTGAGAGAAATGGAAGGCCAGTATGACGATAAAAAATCGCCGAGATCCAAGATGGATGCAGCAGGGAAACAAATGAAAACGGTAGGTTTATACAATACAATACAATACGTTTATTTTCCATTAGACATTTTCACATGTATAGGAATCGTCAGATTGAAGGCTTAAAACTAGAAAGTTTGAGACAGAGACATAAGATAAAATGATAATATTTAGATATTACAGAGACAGAAACAAAATGACTAGGCTGCCAAAAAATATTCTACTAAAGTATAGGGATTCATTTCCAGTAGGAATTGCTTCGAGTTCGTTTTGAAATGACTGAGTTTTTTGAAGATTTTCAATCGACTGGGAAGTTTATTGAAAACTTTGAGTCTAAAGTAATTGGGAGAGTTACGTGTAATCACATATTTACACATTGGAATGTGATAATTGTCACATTGTCTTGTACTTATACCATGTATATTCCTATTAGTAATGAATTTTTCTTTGTTCAAAAATACATAAACACATAATTCAAGCAATTCACATAGCCCTTTTTCAGTGTGCCAATTCGAGGTTTTCAAGGTCATATTATCTCACGTGGCAATGCCGTTGAAATTGGGGGAAAACATTCCTAAACTTCTGGTATAGATTGAGAGTTAGACATGTTTTCCCCAGTTCTAACGTCGACGTTGATGAACTTGAAAACCGCGAATATTGTATGAAGTGGGTCCCGCAAATTATCAGTATAGGGTAATTCAGAATTCCATGTACCTACATATTGTTGAGATCAATATTTCAGATTCCGAATGAAAAATCGTAGTTTTCTACGGCTATAACACAAAACTGCTCTTGTTTTACTGTGTTCGATACGTCAATGAGGTACTGATATCACAACAATGACTCCATTGTGTTATTATTTCAAAAAATCTCACCGCTCATGCAATGTCAAAATTGAAGCAATGACAGCTCTGTCTAATAGATGAGCATTACTTGACCGGAAATCATTTGGCTACAAGACGAAGAAATCGAAAATGCCGCTGTTATCTATTATAGCCGTAGAAAAAGTATAGTGTACAACTTGCACGGAATGCTAATTTCCTATCATTCCATGCTCGTTAAACAATATACTATGCTCGATGTCTAAAACCCCCAGAACACATATTTTGATGAATCAGACGATAAATGTCGATTTAGTTTGCCATATCTTCGAATATCCATATGGTATTTATCATATTTTGACTAGATATTTGTATTATTCGATCTCTAGGTCAATTTTCAGGCTAATCTGACGAACAATCAATCACTCGTCCGCCATTTTGGGGACGCCATCTTTGAAATAAACTCTCGAAATTACTTTATCCATTTACATAGGATTGCTACCTACCTAATGAATTTTCAATACTTTCAAACAATTTCAATAAGTAGGCCATAATTTTACCAACTAATTTTTTTTAGGTAATGGACATCCAGAAGAAGTTGCTCAGTATCAAAACAGCAAACGATACTTCCATCTGAAGCTAGTCGGGACAAATAAATTAAACACTGATATAGTTCTTCTTGTTGTTTATTCGTTAGACAAACGTAGATGCCAAGATTTCATGAAATAAATCATTATAAAATAAAATATACGAGTGTATGATACATTATCGTAAAAATCGCATGAAACAAGTTTTATTGGCATAAAAATCTATAAAAATTCACGAAAAAAAAATTAACAAACAAAAGGCGTTCGCCTTCTCTGGATCAGTCACTTATTCATCTGCGTCCACATCTTCAGAGTCTCTAAATCGTTCAGAAAGTACGTCCCATCACAATTTTACCCTTGATCGTTTCTTGAGTATTTTCCACGAATCCCAATTTTCCATAGAAAGCGTGCGTATAACTGTCAGTTATGTTCATGACCACATGAACTCCAAAAGATCCTGTAAAATTCATAAAAACTCGCATTAACGCACACTAGGATGATCAGTGGCCCCACAACAGACCCTTGTGGCACCCCCACACCACTCCTAACGATATGTGAGTAAACCACAATTAGACAATCCAACTCAGGATAGAATCATCATAGTGGCTGGTTGGCACCCAATATACAGTGTGTCCCACTTACCATGCTCACCATGGGTATCTTTTTAACGGTGAGAGATACGAGGTCGGTTAAATGACACCAAATGTGGAGTTTGTCAAGGCCAACTATAATGTGAAAAAATATTTTGATAAAATCTATTCGTTTTTGTTTTATACGCAAAAAACAGATTTTGATCATTTTCATGTCTCCTCCGTAACTTCTTTATTTATGAAAATATTCAAATAGGAATTTCACATTCTCATGGCAGTTTTTCAAAGTGATTTCGAAATAAATATGAAATTTATACCAACTCTTCTAGAATTTGAGATATAAGCACCAACTTTAGTTTTTCAAATGTAGGTCAAAGCTCACTATAACTTATTTACAAATAACTTTTTTTTCTCTTACCGATGATATGTCGCAGTAATAGTTTTGTGTTGATATAGCAACGGAGTTATCGTCATTTTTACAAAAACAAAAAATTATTTGGAAGCCGCCATCTTGAATTTATGAATTTTAACAAAAAAATCATGATCTCCGACCTCAGAAACCCCCACTTACCAATTTTGAATGGAATCGGACCAAATCTTGTCCGCCATCTTGGAGCAGCCATTTTATTTTAATTTCAATAAAAATTCCATAACTCCGATTAACTTGAAAGTTGGCAGGTGTTCATAATTTCGGTGACGATACATTATGGAGTTTTTGTTGAAATTGAAAACAATGGCTGCTCCAAGATGGCGGATAAGATTTGGTCCGATTCCATTCAAATTTGGTAAGTGGGGGTTTCTGAGGTCGGAGATCATGATTTTTTTGTTAAAATTCATAAATTCAAGATGGTGGCTTCCAAATAATTTTTTGTTTTCGTATAAATAACGATAACTCCGTTGTTATCAACACAAAACTATTACTGCGACATATCATCGGTGAGAAAAAAAAGTTATTTGTAACTAAGTTATAGTGAGCTATGACCTACATTTGAAAAACTAAAGTTGGTGCTGATATCTCAAATTCTAGAAGAGTTGGTATAAATTTCATATTTTTTTCGAAATCACTTTGAAAAACTGCCATGAGAATGTGAAATTCCTATTTGAATATTTTCATAAATAAAGAAGTTACGGAGGAGACATGAAAATGATCAAAATCTGTTTTTTGCGTATAAAACAAAAACGAATAGATTTTATCAAAATATTTTTTCACATTATAGTTGGCCTTGACAGACTCCACATTTGGTGTCATTTAACCGACCTCGTATCTCTCACCGTTAAAAAGATACCCATGGTGAGCATGGTAAGTGGGACACACTGTATGTATAATTAATATAATTATATTACCAGAACGATAAAATGGATACTGTTTGTGATTGTCTTTGGTTATATGATAATATGTACTTCTGATACCAACAGGATTTTGCGTATAAAAAGGATTTATCACACATAAATAATTTCATTGGATTGCCTAATAAAACGACTCAGAGGTACAGGTGTGCAGGGATTATTCGAAACAGTGGTACAGGTGTGCCCATTTAAAACTGAAACCGAGAGATTTCGTGTTTTTTCTTACCGTTAGCTCGAAGAGCAGCTAAAAGACATGTGACGAGCCTTTTGCTGACCGATTGGTCCAGAACAGACGGCAAAAGGCTACAGATCATGCTAGATGGGTGAGTTGGGATGCTGACAAAGTCGTCTTCCTTGAAATTGTGGAAGTAGGATACGGCTTCCTGCAAGTGAGAAGTTCAGCAATACTGTTGTAATAAAAAAATTGTTGCTTTCAAGATGTTATGTACCTTTGATAGCAGTATTCTTTAAGAAATGAGTAGGAACTCAGGTATTATTTTCATTATCATTATTGCGTTAAGAAAAGGATTACTATTCAATACAGAACGTTATGAAGCCAAAATCAATCACTGATTTTTACCACAGGGCATTAGGAAGATGAGGGTGAAAGAGTAACTTTTTTTCTGTGACGGAAAAAAGTTTGGCATTTCATCTCTGTTGGCAGGTTATAAAATGTCACTATTCATAAATTACTATTTTCCCGTGGGAAAAAAGTGAGTACTTTTTTCCAGGATATATATTACATATATACAGTGTCATTCATAAAGTCGGCATCATATGGGAAAAACTTTTATTAATGACTTATTTTGAAATTCGAGTTGGACGTTAAGTTTTGCTTCAAAGAAGATGAAAAATGGCCTACTCAATCGGGATCACGTGACTTTCGCTACATGTCAAAAGTGACATTTTTTCAAATTAATCGCTGAAAGTAGACTTATTTGTTCGAATATCGAAAAAGTTTACTCGAAAAAGTTGTTTCTATTTGAATTTTACATATGTGACTCGGATTTTATCTTTCTATTACATTTTTTAGATTTCGATTTTTAAAAATTTTCGAAATTTCTGTAATATTAAAAAAATTGTAAATTCGATAAAACTACTTCATACCAGTAGTTTCATCATGCTACTAACTTCCAATTACTAATTATCACTAATTATCGACAAAAATATGATTTTCTTCAGAAAATGATAATCTCCGCTTCAAAATTCTGTTATGTCGTTTGATGCAAACATAACATTAAAATTCTGTTATGTTTGAGTCGAGCATTTAGAAACGAAATTCATTTAAATTTATTTTTCCAGTACTGAGAAGATCAGTTTAAATGAATTTCGTTTCTAAAAGCTTGACGATGTATCAACTTTGCATCAAACATAACAGAATTTGGAAGCGGGTATTATCATTTTCTGAAGAAAATCATATTTCTGTCCATAATCAGTGATAATAAGTATTTGAAAGTAAGTAGCATGAAAAAGCTACTGGTATGAAGTAGGTTCGTGGAATTAACAATTATCCAAATATTACAGAAATTTCGAAAAATTAAAAAAAAAACAAAATCTTAAAATTGCAATAGAATGATCAGATTCGAGAAGCATGTGTAAAATTGAAATAGAAACAACTTTTTCAAGTAAACTTTTTCGATATTCGAACAAATAAGCCTACTTTCAGCGATTAATTTGAAAAAATGTCACTTTTGACATGTAGCGAAAGTCACGTGACCCTGATTGAGTAGGCCATTTTTCATTTTTTCTGAAGCAAAACTTAACGTACAACTCGAATTCCAAAATAAGTCGTTAATAATAGTTTTTCCCATATGATGCCGACTATATGAATGACACTGTATACAGTGTTGATTGCTTTTGTTGTGCTATAGTTCCGAAAAATGAGTCAATAATACCGTCTCCGAGAAAGAACTGCAAGTCCTTTTATCTTCCATTCGACTTCGCGGGTACGTATATTACTAAACAACCACTAAATTCGCAATTTTTTGAAATCAAATCACAGAATCAGACTGACAGAAGTGATATTTGATTACATCAAAAGAATGATAAAGATGCCTACAACGCAGGTGTCCCTACTGTTAAAAACTTAAAATTTCACGTCGATAATTTTCATTTTCAGATTTCAAAATAATGTAATATCTTCTCAATATTGATTCGTCCTTTCTTCTGTCACAGAAAAAAATAGTGTATGTACACACGGGAAAAATATTAGATTTTAGCTCACGGTTTTTTGTCTCCCACCGCCACTACTTTTTTCCCTTGTATGATAAATAACTTTTGTTTCCCCTTACAGGGCGATCAATTCAGCAACTTTTTTTCTGGCCGGTTTTTTTACCGGTGTGCATAAAAAAATAGTGTTGGGGTGTGGATCTTTGACTCACCTGAGCGAACTTGTGCATACCATCTGCCCTCTCTTTCGGATACTTCTCTCTCATCTCTCCCACCCAGGCCACCTCCTGCTTCACCAAGAACTTTTTGTGATCGGGGGCGGCGCATGCGTACCCCACCACCCCCGCATCGTCCTCCACCACCAGACAGAACTCGGGATGGAGGGTGAGGTAGGGCCCCACGATCCGGTCGGCCTGCAGGTCCTTGAGGGCCTCGGGGTAGGGCACGGGGTCTTCCAGACCGTCTTTGCATGTTTTCGTGCACACACTGTGAATACATGATGAAAAAAAAAGTTTACCTTCCAGCAGGCGCGTGTCGTAAAATGTACGTCGAAACCGTCTTGAAGAGTATTTATTTCTCTCTTATTTACTCAAAATTTCAATACCTTATATCTATATGGGGAAGTACCAATATTTCACGTTTGAGTCCACTAATGAAATTACAAAATAAAACATTGAAGTGTATTTTCAATTTGAATTTTCCCGAACCAACCATGAACTTATACAAACCTAGAGATTTATTAGATCTGACATCAATATATGAACTTAAAATATGTTGTTTTATTCAATTTTTCCTGGATAAATTGAAAATTTCGAATTCAAATTTCAATGAAATCAATTCATTACATAATCATGAAACAAGACAATCAAATTTACTAATAGATACGTTCAAGTCAAATATCGGCAAACAATCCATTTTTCACACAGGAATCGTTCTATACAACTCATTACCAAGTCAATTGAGGAATATACAGGAAGCAACTAGATTCAAAATTAACTTGAAAAAATATCTGCTTCAGAGACTTTGATAATTCCATTTCTTATTTGAATACCTATTTATGAAAGACAAGGTTGATATTGCATGATTATTTTCATTTTTTTTTATTTGTTATATCTCATTATAATTTCATAATTGTATGTATAACATTATGTATATTGTTTATGTATCTCTAACAACTATGTTTCTTGGGGTAATAAAGACAATCAATACTGTGATAAATGAATGGATGAACGTACTGCAATCTATTTTTAGCTCTCCAGCGGGCACGCTTTCGTAAAATTTACGACAAACACGTCTAATACCTTTCCTCACTTTTATATTTATCAGTTCTGAGCATTGAGCTCCAAGCTATCCGCTATTTTTACTGTCAAAATGTTATATTGTTCATACCTATACAGCGATTCCGAAACGTATATGTAGAGATAACGCCATTAAGATATAGAAAACCAAATGACGTAAACTTTACGACAAACTCCTGCTCATGGAAATTTTTACAGAGCGAACGCTGGAACGGTAATTAAATATGTCTATTGTATATTATAGAAACTATATAATAATATACCATAAACAACAAACATAGGTTGAAATTACTTACAAGTAGAATGTTATTCCCCAAGTTATTATTCAGATTCTGTAATTTATAAACCATTCAATAATTGTTGTAAGGTTCTATTTGAATAGGTAGTTTCCTGATTTCGTTTTTTGACCAATTTGTCATTTCCTTTCATAAATCCACATGTTGATTATAATAGAGACGGCTTCTCTGTAATCTCATTATCGCCTCTCGTCTCTCAGTCATTTTCACATTGTTCGTGTTCGGTATATTCTATATAATATAGTGCATAATGTGTGAGTGCGATCTGCAATCTATTTTTAGCTCTCCAGCGGGCACGCTTTCGTAAAATTTACGACAAACACGTCTAATACCTTTCCTCACTTTTACATATATCAGTTTTGAGCATTGAGCTTCAAGCTATGCGCTATTTTTACTGTCAAAATGTTATATTCTTGTTCATACCTATACAGCGATTCCGAAACGTATATGTAGAGATAACGCCATTTAGATGAAGAAAACCAAATGACGTAAACTTTACGACAATCTCCTGTTTTGGTGCACACACTGTGATAAATGAATGTATAAACAATACTATTTTTAACTTTCCAGCAGGCACGCAGTCGAAGAATTTACGACAAACGCGTCTAATACCTTTCCTCATACCTATACAGCGATTCCGAAACGAATATGTAGAGATAACGCCATTTAGATAAAGAAAACCAAATGACGTAAACTTTACGAAAAACTCCAGTTCAGGGAAATTCTCACAGCGCGAACGCTGGAACGGTAATCAAGTATGTATATTAAGTATTGTATATTATAGAAACTATACAGAGTGGTCCGGTTCGTAATACAAAAAATTTAACAGTGTGTTGTGTGTGTTGTTGTCTCATTCACATTAATTCACATTAATTTTTTAATCAGGTTTCTAGCTATCATAACTTGAGCAATCGAGCTCCGACGCACTGATGCCCCACCCTGTATAATAATAAACAAAAAAACAACCAACATAGGTTGAGATGATTTCCAATTAGAATGTGTTTCCCCAAGTTATTATTCAGATTCTGTAATTCATAAGCTCTCCAATCATGTAAGGTTCTATTTGAATAAGTTGTCTCCTGATTTTTTTTTTCTAAACAGTGCTGAGTTTCCAATTTAACAGTTGTTCCGAAAGTTTCATTGCCCTGTACCATGGGCTTTTCCCAGTAATTATTAATCTATTGCTTGGAATATAGATATTACGACATGTTTTAGAATTATATCCTTTTATTCCATTTTCCCTTATAAATTCACATTTATTGTCTAGTCAGCAGCACGAAAAAGAATTCAATTCCCCATATTTCACTAAAGAAGGATCAGACATTTTGTGCTATTTGTTGGTAGCAATTACTGTCAAACCGAGGGTTATATTATGTCGAATGCATTGTCATTTGTCAATGTCAAACATAATTTGTTAATTCGAAAATGATGAACAAAGAATATGGTGGTCGATTGTCAGTCCTCTATATATACAAAGACGTCACAATAAAGGTGTCAAGTGCATGAAGTAACTCTAATCTAAGCTTATCTAACCCAACATAACCTAACCTGTAGACGATTTTTTCATCGTCGCAGGGTATATAAGGGCGAATGGTGAATACCCTATTGGATGGCACTTCTGGTATCTTGTAGACAAACAGGTCATTGCCAGAATCCACCGGGATAAGGCGCTGAAAAGCAAGAAAAAATTAATTGCATCATCGGAAATTTCCATCTGAAGTTGCCAAATTTCAACATGAAATAAGAAAAAAAATTGACTTTGCGATCACATTTTGAATCATTTCACAAAGTTGATGAGTTTTACCTGCAAATCAGCTGTGAGTCCACCCCTGAAAACCCAGGGCTCCTGTTCTCCGCTCATGAACGTCTCTTTCCATCCTTTCGAAAACCCTGTAGATCACAATACCTCGATCAAAAATGAAAATTTCCAATTCAAATGATCACAGGTACGTCAAAGAAGGCAAAAATGACGCATTTTCAGCCATGCTTAAATGATTATCAACACTAACAGGATGAACTAGAGTCACTGGATGGTATCAGCATTTAGATAAGAGTTCGGACACAGCTGAACTTCTGTTCTTTTCTATTTTCGATATTACAATGGTTTGAGTGAATAAAAGAATAAGACATATATTCTGCTCTTTGTCGCCTGATTGTCAGATACGATTTTAGAGGTTAGATTTTCTGTCAAATCAATCATTGTCAGATGGAAAATAGAAATAGGGTATAAACACCCACTTCAAATTATATAGCGATCCACTCTTCACAGAGCAATCACAAAATAAGTTGCAAATTCATATTCCTCATGTCAGAAAACCTAGAAATACAAGAGTTCATGTTCATGCTGTAAAAACTAACAAAGTTATTGTGAAATTTTGAAATAAAATCTCCCCCTAGAACACTCTGTATTCCCTGAACCAGCAACATTGTCATCAGGCATATTGGGCTAAATCTCATTATTTTTGTGTTTACTATCTGTAGTTCAGAGATTTTCAATTCTTAACAAATCACCCTGTATATAACTCAATAAAATATTGCTGTGGAAGAAGAATAATGGCGTTCACTGACAAGAAATTTAATTCACCAGCAACAATCATTTGACCGTCCCAAGCCCACTCTTCATAATTGAAATAATATTCAAAATTTCCTTCCAAGGCTTTGAACTGTTCAATTGTGTTTTTTCTCGAAAACAAATGACAATATCTTCGTCAAACAAGAGTATCAATATTACATAGAAATAATTATAATCACTACAAACGTTCGTCAAAAAAAGATATCAGTCGATTTCATCAATACACGTATCGCCCCCCCGTAACAAACTGTAGAATAATACAAATAATAATATTTCTTGTATGATATTATGCCTCTGTGCCGAGTTTGATAACAATTGATAAATATACAGTGAAATTATGAGCAAAACATGAACAGAATATTCAACTTCAACGCCATGTACCTTTTTCCACAGCAGTATTTTATCAATGCATATTCGGTCCTAGTCATATTTTATCCAAACAATCCGCCCTCAGCTTATGTCCCAATAATTATGACTAACCCTGTATATTGACGTACAAATTTTCGTCGTAAAATTAACCAGAAATCGCACCTCAGAGATTGAACAAATAATAAATGTATTTATTTCAATGTCACTTATGAACACCAAACTACCTGAATTAAATGATGCTTACATGTATACGTTCCCTGGGTGTACGACTGCATCGACGTAGGAAACCATCCATTGGCTTGACAGAGAAAAAATGTCAATTAATACTTCATCATCGAGTCTGGTTAGGACAAAAACTATCATAGGATTCGGGAAATGGGTGAAGAAAGCAACAAAACTATCCACTATACATTCATCGATAGCTAAATCGCAAATGAATGTACAGTCATGCTCATTCGACACGGAAATGGACCGTTCCGTTTATTCTGAGCACCACTGTACAAAAAAATTCAAAACATGGTAAAAACAGTTTACAGCATTTTTGCACCATCCAAAACTTACCTAGCCATTTGATGTACGAATTGAGCAAAGATATAACGCTTCGTATGTCCCACATGTAAGAATAAAGTTCGTATAAGAGTTCTCGGTTATTGCAATTTGTCATGTGCTGTCCTAATTTGTCGACCGCTTTGGACAGTTCGTTCATTTTTTCTGCCCTCGAATACCATTCCTGAACCTTCAAAGACAACATTTTTATGAAAAAAAAAAAGAATAATGAAGGAATTTAGATCGTACCTCCGGGTTGGAGTCTTTCTTATTATTGGCTTCGATCACTAAGTGAGCGTTGGATTTCAACCAGTTGAATTCTTGGAGGAATTGCAACCCTTGCCCTCCATGCTCGAAGGGTAGGTAAAAGAGATCACACAGTAAGGCTAGATCTTCGTATGTAAGGTCACCTACTTTCCTAAAATAATCAGTGTAAATATCATCATTTCAATTCGCGAAAAATGAAAAGGCCAGAAATGTTCAATGGATGCCATAAACTTTCACTGACTTCCTAAGACGAGAGTCTAGTTAATCTAAAGATCTTCAATTTCTTCCTACAAGAGAACTAAAAGGTTTTCAAGGATCTCCAGATAATAATGATTTCCAAAAAAACGATGATTTCTCAATGACTTCAGGAAACCTATGAAGTTTTCCAAATCATTTCAGTGACTTCCCGAAAATTCCAAAGAATTTTATGACTTGTTGAAGATGTTCAGAAAATAACTTCAAAATACTTTTTTTCAAGTTCTGGTTCCCACGAAAATGGATATTGTTGAATGAACGAGTCTTTGGAAAGAGATGTTCTGCAGGTCTCCAAAGTGACCACGAAGGGGTGCGAAGCCTCATCTCGCGAGGACTGCAAGGAAGCAACAATTTCTGTTATTTCAGAAGAGCATCGTTCATGAAAATATCTATAAAATATTGCCAGATCGCCAACTTTTCTACGGTGTTCCAGAGAAGTGAGTGAGTTTGTGAGCGAGGCATCACCCACGAGACGAATTGCCCTTTTTTTGGACAGAATCCAACAGTTTCAGGGTATGTTTGGGTGCTGCACTCCAAATATGGGAACAGTATCCCAGGACAGGTCGGATCTGTGCCTTATAGATCATAAGCAGCTGTCTGGAAGCGAAATAGCTCCTTGCCCGAAACAGAAAACCAAGTTTTCGGGATTCACTTTTAGCAATTGATCTCACGTGATTTTCCCAAGAAAGGTTATTGCTGATAGTAATACCAAGCATCAAAATGGATGTCTTCAAAGGTATGGTTACTCCTGACAGGCTTATGTTGGGCACAGTGAGATCAGCTTTTCTAGAGAAAAGACATGCTTGTGTTTTGTTTGCATTGAAATCTACAAAGTTATTGGATCCCCATTCGAGAATTATTGCCAACTCTCAAAAATTATGCTTCAAAAAACTAAGACTTTCATTGATTCGCAATACCTTCATAAGACTCACAAAAGCCAAAAACCCTTAAAAAATTCAACCTCCAAAATTTGTATGATTCTGATTTGTTGCAATGACTTCTAAAGAATTTTAATACCTTCCTGAGGCTTTCAATGATATGCCATGACTCCCTACGTCCCACAAAGACACAAAAGAAGTTAAAAAAAATTGGAGCACTTAAAGACTTGCAAAGACTCCCAAGAGTTTCAATTACTCTCAAAAGTACTTCCAAAGTTCTACAACGTCCGAAATGTCAACAACTCCAATGACATCTGTAGGCCTTAAGAGACTTTGAATGCTTTCCATTTGACTTAAGGAAATTTCTGTGTAAATTGAGTTGAATTAAAAACTGTTGAAAGACTCTCACCTATCATTATTTTCAACTACCATCTGGCTACCATCGACTTGCATACTTCCACTTGAAGCCTAAAACAAAAACAAACAAGATAACAACAACAAATAACATCAATCGATGATAATTTATTTACTGAATTCTCACTCATCGCCACATCTTCATTGGACCCATTTGGAGCTTTGGCCACGTGAGCTGGAGAAATGTTGGGAGTGCTATTGCAGTCCATCGGCTCAGAAGGACTCAGACTGGACTCGGTGCTGAGACTGGTATCGGTGTTCATCGTGTTCTCCTCCTGTTTTTCCTTCGCCGTCGTCGTCAAACCGCCTTCCGTGTTGTTCATTTGTTTGACCTTCAATTGCCACAAAACGATGAATCGTTTCTAAAGGACTCTTTAAAGGTAAAATGATTCGACGAGGTGGAAATTCCTTAATTTTCTGTTTTTTGTCCTTGAGTATTTACACTAAACAAGATGATGCATCGTTGTGAGAGCAATGAAGCTAGAAATGGGGTTATACAGGGTGTTTCTTGAGTACGTGTAGAGAATAGGCTTATATCACAAAAAAAATGTATTTCATAATTCGATTGAACTCACCCAAACTAGCTCACCACCGCAAACCCTACCTACGTTTTATAAAAAATTATTGAAATCCCCGATTTTTCGGACCTCTGACAACGAGGCGATGATGTGACGTCAAAACCCAAATACTGAAACAAGACTATTCCAGACAAAGATGAATGATACATGATTTCTGACAGAGTGAATTAGCGTGAGATCACAGTTGAAAGAATTAATATATCAGTTGTCTCAGTCTCCGTCTGGGGCGTTTGGTTTTTTTTTAACTATGGCGAGATGATGTTTCTACGTCATAAGAGGGTCCGTTTTCAGAAGGTACTATTATTTATGTCTAAAAATTAAACATTCGAGTTAATTTTTCGATCGAATTATGTCGTCAATCATTATTTATGTATAAAAGGATCATTATAAACATGGTTTGAGTTAAAAGTTCTACTAAGGTGTACACGTCCATTGTTGGTATTTCAAAAGAGCATCGTCCATGGAAATATCTATAAAATAGAGTCAGATTCTGCTAGACTGAGCAATACTTCTTGACGATTTGCAACAAGAAAAGCGCACATCATTTCCCACTTAAGGCCATTCATGATTTGAATCGAATTATATTATATATTGCTATAAAAACCAAGTCGCCGAAGCAGATAACTCATCAGGAAATTAAAAAAAAAGGGAGATAGTTTATTTAAAACTCAGTATTTACATACATTAATGTAAGTGTGAAAACAACAGAAAAGTTGCGGCACGTTGCCGAGAATGTTAACACAAGTTTCTTCGTATATTGCCGAGGATATTTTCTAACTGTGAATCTACCCAATAAATATTCTTCAGTGGCAATAAAAATAAAGAAAATGAGTGATTTTAGAGTTCATTATATCTATATTCGAGGAAAGAATCAATACAATTTGAAAAATCAATATAAATCGAAAAAATCACAATATAATAAAAACTTCGGATTTTTTTTTTTAAATAACTTACTTTATCGGCTTTGAGGATGGTGCCACTGAGTATAGTGACTGTTTTGGATTCAGCGTTATCGATGGGAATGGGTATGGCAACTGGGGTTATCGGGTTCGGTATGGATTCGTTACAAATGACTTTGGTTTCCGATACCAACGAGTTCATTACTGGGCCTGGTAAAGGATTCACCATGCTGTCAGTACTGGAAACCTAAAAATAGTACAGTGTCTTTCAGACAGTTGACTCCATATGAAAAAACCTTGTAATCATTATTTATTTTGAAATTCGACTTGAGTGTGAAGTTTTACATAAGAAAATATGGAAAATCTACTACTAAATCTAAAAGTTGCAATAGAACCACGACTTTGAGACACATTATTTATTTATCCATTTACTATTTCCAGATATTGCATTACATTTTTCTTCACTGATACTTTTTATACAAATAATAAATATAGTTTTTTCTGTGACGGGAAAAAAGTTTGGCATTTCATCTCTGTTGGCAGGTTATAAAATGCCACTTTTCATAAATTACTTTTTTCCCGTGGGAAAAAAGTGAGTACTTTTTTCCCGGATATATATCACATATATATACACTGTTGATGGCTTTTGTTGTGCTATAGTTCCGAAAAATGAGTTAATAATACCGTCTCCGAGAAAGAACTGCAAGTCCTTTTATCTTCCATTCGACTTCGCGGTTTCGTATATTACTAAACAACTACTGAATTCGCAATTTTTTAAAATCAAATCACAGAATTGAACTGACAGAAGTGACATCAGATATTTGATTACTTCGAAAGAATGATAAAGATGTCTATAAAACGCAGGTGTCCCTACTGTTAAAAACTTGAAATTTCACGTCGATAATTTTCAGATTTCGAAATAATGTAATATCTTCTCAATATTGATTCGTCCTTCCTTGTCAGAGAAAAAAATAGTGTATTATACACGGGAAAAATATCAGATTTTAGCTCACGGTTTTTTGTCTCCCTCCGCTACGCGTCGGGAGACAACACAACCTGGAGCTAAAATCTACTACTTTTTTCCCTTGTATAATAAATAACTATATTTATTATACAGTGGAAAAAAGTAGATTTTAGCTCCAGGTTGTGTTGTCTCCCGACGCGTAGCGGATGGAGACAAAAAACCGTGAGCTAAATTGAGAAGATATTACATTATTTTGAAATCTGAAAATTATCGACGTGAAATTTTGGAGTTTTCAACAGTAGGGACACCTGCGTTGTAGGCATCTTTATCATTCTTTTGAAGTAATCAAATATCTGATGTCACTTCTGTCAGTCTAATTCCGTGATTTGATTTCAAAAAATTGCGAATTTAGTAGTTGTTTAGTAATATACGTAACCGCGAATTCGAATGGAGGATAAAAGGACTTGCAGTTCTTTCTCGGAGACGGTATTATTGACTCATTTTTCGGAACTATAGCACAACAAAAGCCATCAACAGTGTATATATATGTTATATATATGTTATATATATCCGGGAAAAAAGTACTCACTTCTTTTCCACGGGAAAGAAGTAGTTTATGAAAAGTGACATTTTATAACCTGCCAACAGAGATGAAATGCCAAACTTTTTTCCCGTCACAGAAAAATAGTTATTTTTGTATCTAGAGCGCGAAATGCTACTTTGGTGATCGAGATCTGATTTTTTTAACGAGGCGTAGCCGAGTTAAAAAAATAGTCAAGATGACCAAAGTATTTCGCGCTCGAGTTGCAAACAACATTTTTTCTACAAACGTCAAAAAATTTATTTCTAAAGTAAAAATGTGCTTAGCTTGATATGAAAAATAGTGTTGAACTGGCTTAAAAGGCCTTCCCCTATCCCCCTAGGTACGCAGGATGTTCCACGAACATAATAGGAATTTCCTTTCGTGTGCTCCAAGAGATATAACAAAGTTATTGTTGAACATTCAGAAATAAATTTTCGTGGATGTTTGCTCGATTGAGGACCATAAAGTTGAAATATAAATATTTCATATATTTCACATAACAATGCGCGAAGTAGGTACTTCGCGCACTGTTTTACTTCGCGCATTGTTTTGTGCAAGGTATCATGGTAACGTAGGAAACTGAAAAAAAGTGTCACTTCGCAATTTGTTATCAATGCGCGAACCTTGTCATTTTTTGACGTTTGTAGAAAAAAAAACATTTTCTTTCTAGTAGGAATGACATGAATGATCAAACAGTAATTCCTGGTATAAGATCATTTATGAAGTATTATCGACTGTAGGTATAATTGAAATTACAAATAGTGAACAAAACTTATCGTATCATTAAGATATTTCAAAAGCGATAAAAATACAGCGAAGAGAGAGAGAAAAAAAAATGGAAATCTATAAAGTCTGTAAACTTTGATCATTCCTTTGCAACAGAATATATTTCTTCGCTTTAATTTTGAATTGTATAATATTTGGGCTGTTTTTGATATCATCTAGTAATTTATTGAATTTCGTAATCGCCTCATGTGTAATTTTTTTTTTGGCAAAGTTTATAATATGCAGCTTCAAGATGAAACAAGTTATATTGTCTAGTGTGATGACCAGGAATTTGGGAGTTCCTATTTAATATAAAATTTGATTCAAGCTTTTTGTTGATGATATAATAGGAAATTTTAAGAGTAATGATTAGATAGTGCTCTTCCAAAGAAAATGTGTTTGTTTCTCTATACAGTTCAATGCCTTCTTATATAGAACAAATATTTTGTTGAAACTATTTTTGGAGCAAAGCTCAGTCATTTTTGAATCCAGGATAAAAGTTTATGAGACAGATTTCCTATCAATTAGAGGAATATTGTATAATGGTTGTCTCATTTAAAGAAATTGAACTCTTTGACATAACTTGTGAACGCGATGTTTGATTTTTGTTTCATTTTCATCATCATAATAAGCGGAAAAAATACTACTAGCTTGTCCATTTGACTGACTAAGTAGCTCCATTAATAACCAAGTTAGCAACAGTGCCTACTCAAGTTCGAAAATCCTGTATACTTTAAACCAAGAACAAATGAATAAACAGCTAGATAACAACGAGAACATAACCTAAAAATTATCAAATCACCAATAATCGGATCCAAAACGAATACTCACGGTACTACAGACTTCAGCTAACGCTTGCAACTGATTCGAATTCACTAAAGGTATGGTGGTACTACAAGTGGAAGTAGTACTAGTAGTCGATGTTAAACTCATACAGGTATTTATAGACGGTATGATGGGCAGAGGTACGACTGAAAATAAATAATAATAGTAATATGCCAAGATGCAAAAAAAATAAGTGAGCCAGGTGAGAAAACTATTCTGTACCGTAGTTGTTATATTATTGTTTCCACTAGTAACACATTTTCACCATTATATGATTTTTTAACCTGAAATTTTCTTATGAAACTTGAATAATTTTGAGTATCAAGAAGTGTTGAGTTCAGTTATGGAACATGATACATAAAACCCACTCAGGATTCGATGTAAAATTCAGAAAATGAAGAACAAAATAGTTGTTTCCGTTTTAGGAAAAGGAAATTGGCGGTCGTAATTTATTGTTGTACTATAACCCTGCACACATGAATGTACCATCAAAGAAACCACACCAAAGAATAAAAATTGACGAGTCCGAGCGGTATTCTTCGAAAAACTAACCACTCAATTTTAATCTAGCTTATTTCTAGATTATTTGATACTCATTTCATACTGTTTACCAATCGTCGCACTGGTCTGAACTTTTTTCCGCACCCAACATTTTTTGTCTCTGTTCATCACGTGTAATTTTAAATGATGCATATACATACAGTATAATGCAAATGTATGGAATAAATTCATTATTTCAGAAATGGGCGACATTTGAAAAAATTCCAAAAACACGTGAGTTTTAATTTCTGAAGCCTCATCTCATGATATTCATATGAGAGATGTTACGTCACCGGTGTTGGAGTAAAGACGTAATGGACGATTTTTTCAAATACAAATAGGGGTCATGTGACACCTTGTTTGAAAGGTCTACCGATCGTCGATTCAACAGTCAAAATGTTGCATAAGAAGATTGAAATTAAAATGGATTATCATGTGATCAACTGAATCTTGCAGAGGTCTGCTACTGAGAATTGAACATCGAAAAATACGTCGAAAAAAAAGTTCTAAACTCTAGTTTTTTTTTTTCGAATGTCGTCTTGTTTTGAAATGAATTTATTCCATACATTTGCATCATACTATATATATATATATATACAGACTATTATAATTTCAATCGAATGGAAAACGCTATTTCAATGTTCTGAAGTTAGGACTCAATGTTTCAGTTATCTCAACCAGGCGTTTGTGAATGTTTCAGTATTAAGCATGGCTTGTATATACATGATTCTAAAATAAGGATGCAAATATAGTTTTCCATCAAATCAAATCAATAGGAAAATATTAAATATTGAATTATATTGTCAGTTGTCATTCTTTAGTCAGTAATAGCATCACCTACTAATCTGTGGTAGAAGTGGCATAATCATAAAAGCATATAATGTGTCAATAATGTCAAAAGTCGTACCTACAGATATTACTAGCGTTTTTTTGAAAGGTCGATGAACAGGAATCTATAGTATTCATTTCAACTTCCCTGCACGAGATGGAACTATTGTTCTTGTTCTCGGCGTCAGTTCATCACAAGTACAGGTGCCATTAGCGAATATTTAGCAGACATATCAGCTGCATTTTTAACAAAAATAGTTCGTTCTTTCGGAGTCTCATTTCAATGTGTACAATGGATAATTGGAGATTAGTAACAAATAAGTATTATAATAATTTATCGAGTATAAACAATCTGAACGTTATACCGATAGTCTAGTGATTATAAGTTGTCATGAAACAAACAAAACGTGCTCATCGTCATAAGAAAGTTCAAATCAGATGTCAAAAATGTGACATTGGCTTGCACCCTACGGAGTTTTTCAGAGCTTATCATTATCGATAAGTATATACTCATCATTATAAGATTTTTGGAATGTTTTTGGTATATATTGGTAGCCCACATTACTAGCGACCTTTTAAAAGGACTCAAGTTTTTCTCGAATTCTTGTGATTAAAATCAGGAGTAGAAATTATATTTTACCAACTATGATCATTATGAAGTTCAAGTTAACGTTTCCATGAAAAAAAAAATAATTATATAAGGCCAGAAAAAAGCATAGGAGGTTTCTCAAATGGCTAAATTATCCGCTAGCCGCCAGATAAATAAATGAATAAATATCTTTATTTTCCTTCAGACTTTCTAAAAAAGTATAGGAACAGTCAGGTTGTTACAAATATATAAATCTAAAACTAGATAAATGACAGATTACGTATTATGATAGACGAACATTATATAAAAGAGAAAAACATGGTAATTTATGAAAATATTCGTTAAGCGAGTAGAAACACTTTTCTATGAGAAATGATTTCAAGCATTTTTTGAAAGAAGATACTTTTTTGCGTTTTTCAAATATTCAGGTAAGTTATTGAATATTCTTGGACCTAGGATATTTGGTGTATTTCTCAAAATATTTGTTCTGTTTGGTTGAATATAGAATTCGTTCCTCGAGCGAGTATTCACATCATGTTTATCACTGTTGCGAGCAAACAGTTGCTTGTTAACAAATACATAGATACTTAATTCAAATATAAGGAGGCAGGGCAGCGCTAACATCTTCAACCTTATGAAAAAAGGCTTGCAGGAATCCATTCTCTGAATGCCCATCATACTTCTTACAGCTTTTTTTTTAACCAGAAAAATATCCTTCGCTGATCCCCAGAAACATATACCATATCGGATACGTGAGTCCACTTGGGCAAAGTAGAGATTGCACAATGGATTTAAATCAAGGTGTTTCTCAGAGTTCTGAGTTTCAAACATTAATTCTGTATTCACAGTGCATATTCCAGGTAAGACATTCATCAAGAAATACGCCTAAGAATTTGCAACATATACCCTCCAGATCACCTCTTGAAAAGGCCAGTTCACTGCATATACATACCAACGAAGTACATTATACTACTACTGCTCAACCAAAATAGTGTCAAAAATACGACGATGTATTTTTTTCATACCTGCCACTGCAGGTTGCGGTTTTGCGATTGGCCCCCAAGCCGTTTTGTGTTTAGCAAATTCCGGCAGCCAATCATTAATGGCGTTTCGCAGGGCTTGTTTGGGATGGTACATGTTGGGCGATAAGGTAGAAGGTACGTCTTCTCCCGACAAGCCGTCTTCAGTCTCAGTCTCCAGTTTGATATCTGCCGAAACAGTGTCGTCTAAAAAAAATCACCTAGTAGGTTTATCTCACTAGCGTATCGAGATATCAAAATTTTCCCTGTACTAAAATCCAAGAGGTAACAGAGATAAGCAAAATGGGGAAGTTTCCTTCAAATGAATTTCCATATAATAAGTTCGTGACTCCTCAGTTTCATGTCCACGCTGTATAGAATGGCGATCGATAAAGTCGAGGTCAATTTTATTTTGAAAAATAAAGCAATTTTTAATTTTCGGGGCCGCAAACTGTGACATACATTCTGAATCAAGTCTGAATATAGATGATGCTGGCGAATAGCTAAAGAATAAAAAAAATAGAAGAAGAATACAACTTGACGTCGTTGTTGATTATATCATGAAAAATAACGATGATCAACCAACTAACAATGAACAACTATGAAATCTAGGCATAGGCTAACGAATAACTGATCAAACATCGACATAAGTAAAACTGGTAAACAAAAACCTACATTACCCCAAAATCAGATCAACTGTCGGTGTGCCTGTCAGTATTTTGTGTGGTGTGAGCGGGCTCAAAATATTATGTGCTGTTGCATGATATAATATGCAAGTTTTCCTAGAAACTTGATCCGTTTTATAAATGAAAGTGGAAATTATAGAGACTATTGCAAAATATCATAATTTATATTCATTAGTAATCAACTCCATCAAGCAAGTAAAATATTTACGAAAATTATTCGTAATGCTCGAAGAAGTAGGATTGAGAAACCTATTCTACATTGCTGTTATGATATAGTTATAATGTATTCAAAGGACAATTTCCGGAAATATATACATATTGATGATGCCGGCAACGTCGTACTAACACAGGGAATCGTATTCTCAATCTGTGTGAATGTGGCTTTTCTAGATAGCCATAGGAATGGTGAAGGAGCCAAGATCTTTTTTCATTAATTTTTTTTTTAAGTGGATCTTACGAAAAAAAGAAAAAATGCGTATACATCAAATGTTTACAAACTTCAAAGTGAGATAAAAACCTCAACATTGGAAACTTCCCCATTCCACGTGAGCCTCTTCCAAATATTACTGTGGAGTGTCAAGGAATTCCATAGACAAACAAACGTCTAGATGCACTATTTTCATCTGATGTGGCTCTCTGAATTCTCGCGCGTTTGTGACGTCACTCACAGCACACGATATTTCCTTTTCACAGTGAACTGTGTATCTGAATATCACGTCGGGGATTCTGGATCAATCCCCCTGATTCAATTTATTTTTCACTCTAGTAATAATTGTCCGAAAGATATACACTTCTCCAAGAAATTAACGCAACACCAGAAAGTTGTCAAAAGTTTGGGAAACATTTTCGTCAAAAGTGCTCTCATTCGATTTGGAGATTTTGTGTTTTGAATGAGAGGATATGTCCTGCTGAAGATTGAAAATTTTCACTAAACCAATTTTTTAGAGAAGTTCATTTAAGCAGAGTTAGATTGTAAGGAATATAGCCTCCGTTTTTAAACAGAAAGAATATTTTCCTTCCTTACATTAATATATTACCACTTGGGAATTCAGAGAGCAGCAGAAAGAAATGGTAGAGCTAGACGCTTTTATTCCATAGGGATACAAGAATGAATTTCAAGAGCTCTCAGGAATTCAAGGACAGTAGTAGGATTTTTAAACACTTCAGACTCTTCTGAGATTCCTATATATATGTGAGGAAACTGTAAGTAATAATTTGTATCTACAGAAAATTACCAACATTATAACTTGATTGAAACAAAAAATATAAATACAGTGTGTCCCACTTACCATGCTCACCATGGGTATCTTTTTAACGGTGAGAGATACGAGGTCGGTTAAATGACACCAAATGTGGAGTTTGTCAAGGCCAACTATAATGTGAAAAAATATTTTGAAAAAATCTATTCGTTTTTGTTTTATACGCAAAAAACAGATTTTGATCATTTTCATGTCTCCTCCATAACTCCTTTATTTATGAAAATATTCAAATAGGAATTTCACATTCTCATGGCAGTTTTTTGAGGTGATTTCGGAAAAAATATGAAATTAATACCAACTCTTCTAGAATTTGAGATATCAGCACCAACTTTAGTTTTTCAAATGTAGGTCATAGCTCACTATGACTTAGTTACAAATAACTTTTTTTTTCTTACAGATGATATGTCGCAGTAATAGTTTTATGTTGATAACAACGGAGTTATCGTCATTAATACAAAAACAAAAAATTATTTGGAAGCCGCCATCTTGAATTTATAAATTTTAACAAAAAAATCATGATCTCCGACCTCAAAAACCCCCACTCACCAATTTTGAATGGAATCGGACCAAATCTTGTCCGCCATCTTGGAGCAGCCATTTTTTTAATTGATGGCGGACAAGATTTGGTCCGATTCCATTCAAAATTGGTGAGTGGGGGTTTTTGAGGTCGGAGATCATGATTTTTTTGTTAAAATTTATAAATTCAAGATGGCGGCTTCCAAATAATTTTTTGTTTTTGTATAAATGACGATAACTCCGTTTTTATCAACACAAAACTATTACTGCGACATATCATCTGTAAGAAAAAAAAAAGTTATTTGTAACTAAGTCATAGTGAGCTATGACCTACATTTTAAAAACTAAAGTTGGTGCTGATATCTCAAATTCTAGAAGAGTTGGTATAAATTTCATATTTTTTTCGAAATCACTTTGAAAAACTGCCATGAGAAAGTGAAATTCCTATTTGGATATTTTCATAAATAAAGAAGTTACGGAGGAGACATGAAAATGATCAAAATCTGTTTTTTGCGTATAAAACAAAAACGAATAGATTTCATCAAAATATTTTTTCACATTATAGTTGGCCTTGACAAACTCCACATTTGGTGTCATTTAACCGACCTCGTATCTCTCACCGTTAAAAAGATACCCATGGTGAGCATGGTAAGTGGGACACACTGTATAATAGGCTACAGACCATGCAGACAATTTTCGAAGAATAATGTGATTGAAATCATTAGTGAGATGATTGAGATTAAAAAAAAAGAGGAAAACCGCAGTTCAGTAGCCAATTTTGAGGTTGCAATTAGCCATTATAAGAACATCAATAAAAAAATCTCACTTATGGAAGGATCTCGCTGTGCATCCACGTTACACTTAGACCACTGGGCAAGCGTGTGAATTGCAATAAAGTTGGCGCCGTATTCACAATTTGGATTCGTCAAAACGCCTCTCAGCTTCGGAATCAGATCAGGAGACCTAAATAATGATAGGTACCAATAAAAAATGATGACAATCGCCAGAGTGGTCACTGGTTACCATCCAGCTCGACTCTGCGTGGCGTCAGAAGCAGAAACGTGAACATGTAATTCATTCAAATGTATGTTAGTAAAGACAAACGAAAAAATTGTGTACCTGCCGGAATATGGACCCAGAAACACCCGTTTCTGGTCATAATCATTGGCATGGAGATTGTCCCAAATGACAGGTGGTCTCCTCAAAACCTCCGTTATTTCCTGGATGTTTTCTTTCGTTAGAATTCTTGATATGACTTTTTGGCCTGAAAAAAAATTGATAGTGCCGAAAATCTCACTGCAACTACCATTCTTTGGACTTGATCAAGGTCGATCCTATTGCAAAAGTTTGAAATTGAATGACCCTGTATATCATCTGGAGGGTAGATAACTCATCAGGCTTTCATTATTATTATCACTTTTTTTATTACTTCAGTTATATCACTGATTGCAAGTCAGGTTCAAGTATTTTTTAATACTTTTGGATACAATAATTATCATTTCCGTCGACCTCGTATTAACGACTAGGTTTAATGTATATGAAATCGTTCATTAATGACCCCTATAAATGAAAGATTTGTCTATTAATGCACGATTGTTTTATAGGCAACCAAACATACACCGCGTGCATTCATTGTTTATGCTGTAACTTACGGAACCTGCATTTAAATCGAAAATATGGATTTCTTCGAAGATTTTCCGTTAACGGGTTCGTCTTTCCAAGTTTCTGACACGATTTTAATCCCTGTTTTCTAACACAAGGAATTTATTTTCTATGTTGATCATTTCGACAAATGTCAAATGTCACTAATGTCAGTAACAATAAGGCTACTGGGTGATGCTTAGCAGTTTCCGGATGAATGATGAATTCGCGAACCAATTTTTCTTCATTGCAGGAGAAATGAGAAATATAGTCGACGGAAAAATTTTGTAACCAACTTGTCTATCAAAAGGCGATTAATGATCTCGAACATTAACGCGCTCGCTTCGCTAGCACGTTAAAATATCTCGATCATTAATCGCCCTCATTAATACACTAGTTGGTTAAATAACTATTTCATATATTTCATCAAGATTTTCAATACTTTTCATGACACAGTACCTTCCACCAAGGGAAATTCGTTTCAAAATTCGCGTTCGTCAAGGTCATCACTCCTTGGGTTGATTGAACGTTAGACATGTTTTCCTTTAGTTTTTAATCACATTGGTATCTCATGACCTTGGCAATTGGCAACCGCACATTGTGACTTTTTATGTCACTTATGTCAGAAGTCTGAGTGACTAGCATGTTTGTTTATTTATTCATTTATCAAACATACCTTATTCCAGTCAGTCAAGTTCTTGTATGAGGAAGAACATATAATTATAAAATAACAAGTAATAAATATCTATGAACTACCACAGAAACATGAGTAGAAGTGAACATGAATAACAAATCATAATTAATCAGAATATCACAATGAATAACAATAAAAGGAAACAATCAATGAAAAAAGAAAAGAATTCTAGCCAAGGACATACCTTGCTGATGAATTTTGAACATTTCTTTCAGACATGATAAGTTTTTTAAATTTCTTTTTGAATGTACTGATATTTCTGCAGTTTTTAATTTCATCTGGTAGTTTATTGAACTCAGATAAGGCTGCATGAGTGAATCTTTTTAGTCCCAGTGTAGAACTAGCAGCATCAAGGTGAAATAAGTTAAATTGTCTAGTTTGATGACTATAAATTTAAAAATTTCTTGTCAAAATAATATTAGATATCAATTTTTCATTTATTATATATTGTATGAAATTTTCAGAGTCCCTAATATGTACAGTTCTTCTAAAGAATATGTTTTTGTTAAAGCATACATTGTATTTGTTAGTGTATCATATGGAAGACAATACAGTACTTTTGATAAATTCCTATATAATGTTGATATTTTATTAACATTATTTTCAGAACAAGATCCCCAACCATTTATTAAATAGTTGATTTGACTTAGTATATTATGTGAATAGAGTACTATATTTGCAATTTTTATATTGAGTTTGGGACAATGCACCAATAATAGGAGATATTTTCTGTGTCAGAACCTCAATGTGTTTGTCCCACTTCAATTTTTCATCAAACCAAATACCTAAATACTTTATCTGTTACTACTCATTCAGTAGAAGCTCTGAAAAACTCAGTTACATGTTATAATAATTGTGATATGATGAACAAAGAGAACCTTAGAGATGAAAGATCAACTCTAACAAGCCTTATGACATAGTCATCTCAATCTTCTTCTACTTTCCTAACCTGACATCTAGTTTTTGATACAGAAACAGATTTTCGAAGTTTAGTAAGTTAGAAACTGGTTGGAAATCATAATTGCATGTTCTGATATCATTCTATTAATTAAATAAATACAAAAAGCTCAAAGTTATTTTGTATTTATTTAACATTTCATTCCACTTCCAGCATTGTAACTATTTCCTAGTTGAATCTATTAATTTATAACCCTAAAATGATACCCACATCCATTAAATCTCCACATTATTTAGAAAGTAATCACTATTCCTTGCCTGAGAGAATTGATCTTTTGCCAGATATGGAGGCAACTGAGTTCAGGTGACATTCTAGTGTATTTTTGAAGATAGGTTCAGTATCCATATTTTCTATCAGAAGAAAAACAAATATTGAATGGCAGGAAATTTGGATGCCACTTATTCCATTTATGATCATTTATCAGCACTTCTTAAGTAGAAAGTTGGTCATCTTCTCAAATCTTAGATGGTTTTATAACATAATCAATGATATTTCCATGTTACATCTGTCATAAGTGATAAGCATTGAACGAGGCATTGAATGTTAGGTGATAAATCTTAGGTCTTGAATTTTTTCATTGAGTGGCCCATAATATCTAATTGATGAGACACAAATGTCCATAATCCCACTCACCTGTCCACAAGATATTAATTTCTTGTGCCAACTTCGATCCCAGAGTATTCAAATATTCAGAATTGGTAACATTTGGCACTGCCCTAGTTGAACAGTACTGTGTAGGGCACAACAGAAATTTAGGCTGCCCCAAATGCTGAAAACAATCATTAGTAACAGAAACCTGAGCCTGAGCAAAGGACTGAAAAATCTCCTTGTCAGCCTCAGACATTTCAGATTCGATATCATCAAAAAGCAAGGCAAAAGCATTGCAGCCAAACTGAGAAACTTGCTCCAGCTTCCTTTTCAGGGTGGTGATTTCCTTAAAACTGCTGTAGGTTATGTCTAGGCCTGGAGACAGGGCATAGTAGAAGGTTATGTTTTGGTCCCTGGCTGCTTGAATGAGACCTGTCAGGTGCTCTGCTTCTTCCACTGTGTATAACTCACGCCAATATGCACGATGCTTGTAATCATCTTTAGGGGCATAAACATAAGAGTCCATGCCCCATTTCTTCATTCTACAAGTAACAGAAGGTGATTTCCCCAACAATTATAAACACAGAGCAAGTACTTACTTTTGAAACAAGTCCTTACGTTGTTCAGTGGTCCAGGGCCTGCCATAGAATCCTAGAAATATGCATTTTTCACTTTAATGATGAATATTTGTGTCTATATACTCACCTTCAACAACTCCACATAAGAAATTCCCATTTTTAGTGTTCAAATTTTCTGGAGAGGGCAATTTTGGGGCCTCAGACATGTTTTATGTTGTTATTACTAATCACTTTAGGAAATTATGATCTAAACTAAGAGCCAAACACTTTTGTATCACATATATAAATACTAAATACTTTGCATAAATACTGGATTCTCTAAATTCCTTAACCAACAACAATAAATGACAATTTTGACTTTGACAACTTTGGCACCTGGAGTCGCTGAAGTGTAGAGTGACTATGCAATCAACAATGCTTTGACCGATAGGGCCATCTATTGGCTTATTCAGAACTAATCAGATATTTAGGATTTAGGAAACCAGAGGTAGCTAGCGATTTTGAATCGATATATAATATGGGATCTCTGACATGGTAAATCAAGAAACAGTCTAGAGTAACAAAATTTGAAACCATATTTTTGTCATCATATTATTTAGGTGTCCAACAATTCAGAACATTTATCTATATATACAGTGTGACCAATAAGATAATAATAAAGTTGGACAGCCAAAGAATATTAACGCCATTCACAAACATATAGCGTCAAACCCTTAGTCAAACCATAGGCTTTCGAAAATATTCAGAATTGTTTATAGTTTTTCAGTCATATAAAATAATTTGAATTTTCGCAAAATTAATTTAATTTTTTTTTTACGTTATAATCAGAGATACAGAAAAACTTAGAATACTCTTCAATATAGCAAGTTTCGATGAGGTTTAACATGGTGATATATATTTCTCTAATGGAAAATAATATTTATTTCCAACTGAACTTCAATACCAAGAATCCCAAAAGATGGATAGAAATCAGCTTCATAATCATTCTTTATAAACTTAGATGTTCAAAAACAGAAATAAATCAAGTGGACAAAGAAATTATAAAAAATATATGATTCCATACCTATTATTTGTATGATAAACTCCGCGCGATATTAAAACATTCAGATCATTTTATTGTGACAAAAATGACGTTAAAACTAGATATTAGTTCGTTTCTCTAATTAATATTATATATATATATATATATCTAAATCTGCTACGAAATTTGAAACAATACTAAATTGTATATTTATATTCAATGACTGAATGAAAAACAAGAAATACCTACATTTCTACTCATCAATTATTACTTCTGTCTCGAATTGATCAAATGATTTAATAAACATAATTTTTACCTTAATTACTTATCTTATAACAGGTTACAACAATACCAATATGTATATACTTTTAATTTATATCATGTAAACATTTTGAATGAATTTCATATTATTTTATATTATTAATTATGAACATATTTTTGAAGTCCTTTACTTATTGGTGAGACCTTCGGAATACCCAACTTTTTTCCTCTTTTTCACACTGTTAAAGTTAAAGAACATATTCCATTATTTTTTGTTAGCCATAGTAAATATTCATTGCAGACCATATTATTTATTCCTATCAGGATTCACGTTCATAAAAGTACATATTCCTATTGTATAATATAATGGAAGTAGTAAAGATATCTCTTCCACTTAAATAACCATTCAAACTGAGTCATGGGTCCATTGAAGAATTTCCTGTTTCTTCTTTGATTTCAACTGGTGGTGGCATGATCAAATGCTGATAAACAGGAATCTGAAAATCATCTGAATGAATGACTTGATTTTTTCCCACTTATGATACATCATCTTTATTGTTATTCCTTAGTCTATAATGATTCTCGAAACACAATAAACGGATTAGGTTCAGGTTAAGTGGAAGAACAGCTTTCGTTTAGTTCTGCTAAATGAAAGCTCAACTTCGCCTTTTATTTTGTTTAAACCATTATGGATACAAATTGTAGTTTTTTTTTGTTAATTGAAAATAATAAAGATGTATTATTATTATTATTATTATTACTTTTTCAACCACCCCTGTATGTTCTGAAAGCCTCTGAATATTTTTCATCCTATTTTGGCATCCTGAATTTCAATTGAATATGAGTAGGTACACCTATTATTTCAGCTGTACTGTATATAGTTAGGTAATTAAAAAAAACATTCGAAAAATATATACACACAGGGTGTTACAAAAACAATTCACACAGTTGTGTGGAGAAATATCTAGTTTTGAAAACTTCTCAAACAAATTCAAAACAATATACTTTAAAACATAACTATATATTCAATAGCGATTTGGTCGTTTCGATCATGATAATGATTATACTTTACATAAGGAAACGATGTGTCAAATTTGATGTCCACAGGATTCGTCGTTCGTTCAGGTATTGCATAATGATTTCCAAGTATAGGACTGATCAATGATTTCCCATATATTTTACTCTGGTCGATGTGAATCTTGTCTTTTTCAGCCTGTTTCTTTAACTGCTTTATTGTCAACCTCTTCGGAAAGGATCCACCGCACAAAACCTATACGAAAAAATATAGAACCTCTCATCAATGTGAGACGAGGATCACAAAATACTATATTTTAGAGGAATCAAAATGTTACCCTCAAGGTAGTTGAACTGGCCACTCTTTTAATATCAGCCGGTATAGCATACTCAAACCCCTCTGGATCTATTGGGTGATTTTCAGAAATAGTCTTCCAAGGTTTGAAAGTTCCGATTGTCTGGATATATCGACCACCCAAAGTCCACATCCTCACGCTGTAATCAGCACTGCAACTGCAAAAAAGAAGAAGATTTTTGCATAGAACAAAACTCTTAACATCTTACCTTATGACTATTTGACACTCGTCAATATAGGTCAATCCAGAAACGGGCATAAAGTGTCCTTTGTAGCTATTCAATAGTATCGGTTTGGGTTGATTCGTCACCATTCTTCTAGCTCTTCCTACGAACCTATCACCCCACATGAAGGGAAACATCAATCTATACTTTGGAAGGCAAATATACTCTTCATCCTCGGGCAACACACAGTAATTTTTCAACAGCCAGGTTTTTATATAACCAACTGAAGTGCCTAAAACAACGATTTGGTTATTGATGAATATTAGACCAAAGACAAGTAAATTTACCTACCAATAAATAGAAACTCGTTTTTTTCGTCAGTGCTCATCGAAATAACATAATCACCGGCTTTGTGGATGGCATAAAAGGAAGTGATGAAACCTCCAGCTATGTGATGATTCCAGACCTGGATGACCCCATTTTCTAGAGCGACCAGCAGCGTTCCCACTTCTGGATCGCTTTTTCTCGCGTTCAGAAACAGCAAGCAATGCACTGCCAGTTTCCTGAGGTGAAAGCACTCATCAGGCATAGCAACCGTGGACACTCTTCTGTCTCTTGGTGTTTTGGGAGCAGAACTATGTCTACCAGGACCTTAGAGCAATAAGAAGCACATCAGTTTAACCGTTACTACTCTTCCTCTACCTATTCTGTTTTTACCTGATAGCATGGAGTCAAAAGAAAGATGTGATGCTATTGAAGACGATACTTGTTTAGTTTGAGAAGCTCTCCTCCTGGCTAAAATGATCTCTTCCTTCTGTTTATCCTTGCTCTTCGTCAGCTGGTAGTGGATTTTTATTCTAGCTGTGGGATTAGAAACGTTGAACTTCTTGTACGGTTGACCAGTTTCCAATCTCCACAAGATCAACTCTCCCACATAGGAAGTGGTAGCCAGAGTTTCTGGGACTCGTACTGCTGCTGCACTTATGTCTTCAGTATGACGAAGGTCCCAATTTTTACTGAAATATAGTCTATCTCGAACAGAACATTCCGGAAGAATCAATGATTTACCTGAAAGCACCTCCAGGTCCCACTGCTTCTCCGGCATCAGCAAACTCGGTGACTCTTCGATTCCAACCGATTGCCATGATTCTACTTTTCACCCAAATGACAGACTGCACCTCAGACCACTTCTCGATGTTCATGTTACGAAGACAGGTTCCCGTGTTGAAGTTCCAAATCTTCAGAGTACCATCATGAGCACCTCGAGTACGATTGAAAATAAACACTATCAAGTGGAATGAGTTCCCAATGCTTACCTGTGAGTAAGCGTTGGTAACCAGGATCGAATGTAGCAGCTGTTATCTCTACAGGCATTATTTCACCATGCAGCATGACTGTGTGTGCTTCTTTGATAACCAAAAGCCTTCTACCATTCCAAGGGTCCCAAACAATGATGTAGCTGTCTAAGCCACAGGATACTATACACTGAAAACTCGATGATGATAGTCGATGTACTAACAAAAGGAGTCTACAATGATGATAAATTGAAGTTCTATCACAACGTCAAACAATAACTGGTATATAAGCTTGCGTAAAGTGACCATCAATTAGGTACAGCAACAGCTATGTTGGTTTACCGCATGCACTGATTGAATCACATATTAGATATGGAATAGAATTCAGGGGTTCATGAACTGAGAAAACTTCCATTCGATATTTTGTCCTACATAAACGAGCCATTCGATATTTTATGTAATGTAGGACCGCGAGTATCTCTTATTGACTGTTCTTCGGTCATACTCGAGGCAGTATGCTTGACTCTCAAGAATATAACCGGGTGTGAGATCAATGAGGGGATCATTCGCCAAGAAGGTAATTTGATTGATTGGTTGATTTTATATGACAGGCTTTTAAGGCAAGAAGAAATCTTACCTTGAATAGCTTGTTGTACAGAACCACAGATACCCCACTGGTATGGGTGTTACCATCAGTATGTTCAGAGCTATGTTTAGGGCTAAGTGGCAACACTGCTATCATGACACTCCCAATGATCCACTGCCTGCTTTCTGGGTTATACAACGTGGTGATATCGCTTCTTTCACCCAGCTGCGAAGGTAGCTCCAGATAAGTCTGCAGGAGCGATTGAAGACCAATGTCCCACACTTTGATGCACTTATCTTTGGAGAGACTGTACAGTTTCTGAGCACCGTCTTGGAACACCATTCTCACTATGCCTAAAACAGGAGAGTTTTGATGAAATTATAGGACGATCTCCTTGTACATACCTGTGTGATGTCCATAGAAGGTGCATATGGGTCTCGTAGGCACAAACGGATTCCAAATTCTGACCAAACAATCAGGTCCCCCTGTAGCAACAACGTGACAACCTTGTTGTAGCGCGAAGCACCAAACCCCAGCCACAACTTTGTACACGTACACTTTACTAGGATCCGTGATATCCGTCATCTGGAACCCTTTAGAACACTGTGCACAGGTCACGACACTCTTCAAGGTAGGATAGTAAGCGATCTGCCGAATAAAGTCCTTGTGAATGTTGGGAAACTCTGAGATCGTCATCGCTGGTACACCTCCTTTGCACACCCTGTCGTACCTGACTTGTCGTAAGGGTATTCCTGGTTGGCTGCGAAAAGGACCTCGTGCCTCAGTCTGGATAAATAAAATCCTCACATTACCCCCCATGTCTCCCAGCATTAGCTTAGAAGGAGTGGTAATATCTGTGTCGAAGACATAGTGCATAGCGGAGATTGCATCGGGTAGGGAAGTAATCATGACTCTCAGCTCGAATTTCCTAGCTGAAGTATCATAGAATCTCAAGTCTCTCTCTGTGCTAGAGGTACAAATGACGCTTACATCTGGTAAAACAGCCATATCAGTGACCCACGTGTTCTGAATTTTCAGCTCAGGGCAAGTTGATTGAACAGTTCTTTCCAGCTGCATGTCCAAAGACCAGTAGTTGATGGTACCATCGTGGCTGCAGGTCATGATGCTACCGTCGTGCCAGGTGCTGGATCTATCTGGTTTGACGGTGGGGTAGAATGTGATTCGGTTGATGGGATGTCTGTGGTTGCTCTTGATCATGGTAGGGGGCTGTGGTATTGCGTCGTCTAGGGTTTTGAATTCGAGGCTGACTTCTTGCTGCTCGTAGCCGAGGATGAGGTAGGAGATGAATTCATCCCAAGTCACAACACCATTACTGAAATTTTGAGGAATAAGTGTTGAGTCAAGAAGGTTCATTTTTCTGACCATTGGGCATCCATCCGCATGAATATCATGTTGAATTTTTCTTCGGGGTAATCGATTTTGGCCAGTCTCTCCAGTACTTCTTTCAGCTGTTGTTTGTTCATTCTTTGTCCATCTTCTTGGTCGAATGCTTCTTTTATTTTTACCAATTCGTAATCCTCCAGCAGTTTGTGGAGATCTTCATTAGGACAAATATTTATAGCGAAATACCAGTTTGATCAATATGCCTACCTATACTCATTGTCTCAGAAACACCAATTATTGTTCAAAACAGGAACAATTTCGTAAAAGTATTCATTAATTTGAGACTGTACGGTAAGTGCTAATCCAACTTCATCCGTATTATGCATCAAAATAAGTGGCAAATTACCTTTATCTGCATCCTTCAGTTTCTTATGCACATGTTTTGAATACGCTGTATGGATGATATTTTCATTAGACATATCAGAAGATGAATTATAAGATGAATTGGTCTCAGTATTTTGAATGTGTCATCCGAATTGAATTTTGCCTTCAACTTTGACATTCTTCTCCTTGGGCTACGTTCAGCGACATAGTTCAATCAAATGGTGCACAAAAACAGCTTGAAGTGGAAAGTTCTGGTGTAATTAATTTCAGTGGTTTATAGTATACTCTTTGATGTGCTCAACACGAATCTTGAGTTGTCCACCAAAAATTCCATCGGCAAATATCAGAAAATACCAAAAGAGCACACAAAATTATGTTTTTTAATGGTTTTCAGCTTTCAACTCGCAAAGGAAGCCGTTCACAGAAAAAATTAACGAGTAGTAAAACCAAGAGGGAAAAATTATCTACAATTCAGGTCTCATGATACTTTTTGGTATGTCATTTGGTTTCCATGCAGAAGAGTGTTGAAGTTTTAGTGGAATCAGTGATTTTTGGAAAAAAAATAAAAAATTCAACTAATTCATAGTTTTTATTCCAAATTGATGAACATATCACTGTCAAATGAAATTCTCCTCCTAGACACAGAATCCGTGGCTCCTCCAGGGCAGCTTTCAAGTTCTTCTACGCCTGTTACAAATAATAATTTACTTAATTCAATAATTTCAAATATAAATCAATTAGATATAAAAGCAATACCTATTGAGGATTTCTTCGACATTTTCATACGTTCTCGACCTATTTATCGTTATTGATTATTGGTCGATAACACAAATGAATTGTGAGAGGAAAAATGAAGGTGCGAAAGAATTATTCATGTAGTTACCTTCCAGAGGATCAGAAAACTACGAATCATCCTCTGCTTCTCCTTCAATGGCTGGCCATGTTATTGCAGCTATTTCCACATTCCGTCTCATTTCAATATTAGAGAACAAATTTTCGGCAGCCTGGATTCACACAAATTAGGCACAAGAGGACGCAGATACACTTATTGTCACCACAGCAATGTATCCCGCACCACAGCATAATTCTGTAGTTATTGTGGGTGAAGATGTAGAATTGTTGGTGATCATGATTGGTCGTTGTCTGGGTGTACATTCGAATGTATACTTTTTCATGCCAAGTAGAGGAGCAGTTTCGGAACTCATATTTTCAACTGACTCTGTGCACCAGAGCATGTCTATAAGTGCAAAATACAGTTCTTATATACCATGGGAGGATGTGACACAACCTCGGCCTCGTTCAAAGTTGGAAGAATTAAATACCCTCCAACCATCGAAAAATCCTGCTTTGATCGTAATTGTTCAAAGTTTCGAAGATCCTACGGCGAATGCTGATACTGTTATCAATGCTGGCATCACCTTTTTTACTGCAGTGTATGAAATTAACGAAAAGGAAGATACGTCCATGAACAAATTGGGGTATAAATGCTATACCCTAGGTCTGCAAATAGAACAACAGCCCATTTGGCATCCTTACCCCATACCACCGAACATAAACGTCTCTGTTTATGTTCGGTGCCCATATACGGAAGCTGCAGCATGACAGAGTATAATTTCAAGTGCAACAGTGGCTCGGAAACCACAAAAGATCCCGAGCAATGAGGTTGGAAAAAACCAAACCAGTACCAACGCTACAGTCACCAGCTCCAGAAGCAGTTTTGAATCTAATATCCTACAAGTGCATGAAAACCTGTCAGACCAACTGTGGGTCCCAAAAATTGTGAAAATAGCTGCAATAACATGGCCAGCCATTGAAGAAGAAGCAGAGGATGATTCGGAGTTGTCTGATCCTCTGGAAGGTAACTACATGAATAATTATTTCGCACCTTTATTTTCCCTCTCACAATTCATTTGTGTTTTCGACCAATAATCAATAACTATAAATAAGTCGAGTACGTATAAAAATGTCGAAGACATCCCCAATAGGTATTGCTTTTATATCTTATTGATATATTGTTGGAATTATTGAATTAAGTCAATTATTATTTGTAACAGGCGTAGAAGAACTTGAAAGCTGCCCTGGAGAAGCCACGGAGTCTGTGTCTAGGAGGAGAATTTCATTAGACAGTAATATGTTTATGTATTTGGAATAAAAACTATGAATTAGTTGAATTTTTTATTTTTTTCCAAAAATCACTGATTCCACTAAAACTTCAACACTCTTTTGCATGGAAACCAGATGACATACCAAAAAGTATCATGAGACCTGAATTGTAGATAATTTTTTCCTCTTGATTTTACTACTCGTTGATTTTTTGTGTGAACGGCTTCCTTTGCGAGTTGAAAGCTGAAAACCATTGAAAAACATAATTTTGTGTGCATTTTTGGTATTTTCTGATATTTGCCGATGAAATTTTTGGTGGACAACTTTAGATTCGTGTTTAGCACACCAAGAAATGAAGTATAAGCCAATGAGAACAATTACACCAGAACTTTCCACCCTGATATACCGTTTGATTAGACTAACAGGTCTGAGCATTTTCGATCTGAATGAAAACCTAGTAGGCGACCTAGTGCGAGGTTATAGCTCCTGCCTACTTCAACTACCTAACTATGTTGTCATCTAGAACGACAATGGTCTGACAACAGTAGTCTGATCCATATACGTATTAATAATCAATACTGATAATCTCTATCTGTTTCCATAGCGAAACATGAAGCCGATTTTTGAAGACAAATGACTATCCATGAGGAAAAGTGAGATACGATCAGACACATACTGCTTTGACTGAAAGGCTAGTAAACGTCATTGTCCACCGAAACGCATGTCTTTATTGATGACTACGTATCATGCCACCAAATCCTTATGGATATTCATTTGTTTCATATTTTTGGCTTCATCCTGGCACCCGTTATGATCCGTATTGTTTATTAATACGTATATGGTCTGATCACAACAAGCAAAGAAATTCTGAATGTGCATCGGTCCATGCGTGGACAACTGTCATTTTTACTCCACTCCTACGAGTTACAAGATGATACTTCACCTTCATCCATTTTCGTTTCAGTAAGTCGATAGAAAGAGAATGCAACCGAGCACTGAAGCTTGGTATAATGGAAAACTATAAGGGATATTGAACATTGAGCTCACAATACTATCGATTATAATTATGTCAGAAATCAACAAGATCCAATTGCTCATAGTATCTGAGTAACACCACGAATATTCGAAATAAATTGAGTAGGTATAATTCGTATCAAAAATGAAAAACTTATCACTGGTTCGCTAGTCTCTAGTCTGGTTGCCTCTTCTGGTACAGTTTTACTGTCGATTAATAACACATCGCTCTTCTTCGATCTGAAACATAGTTGGTATTATATCTCGAATTTTGAATATATTGAGAATAAAGATCAAGAAAGTTACATGGAATGAGAAACTGGAATATGAATGATTATTTTCGATTCCGTTGCTGAAACGTGACATATTCTTTATTGCTCAAAAAATGAGCGGAACAGATAGCCAACAGTTTTCTCCTAAATGAGAAACACTGTATATACCTAACCCATCAGGCACCTACCCCGGTTGCAACGAGGGTTTACCGATGCCAAGGGTTGATACTCTCCCCTCGTAAGGGTACCTGTCGTGTCTCCATTGAGACATAAAGGTGACTATCGAAAAATCTTCTATAATATATCACCTTCCATAACGAATGTAAAATTTGGAAGAGATATTCTAAATGAATTGAATGAAATTCGTAAATAGGAATGAAAAACTTATCACTGGTTCGCTAGTCTCTAGTCTGGTTGCCTCTTCTGTACAATTTTTCTGTCGATTAATAACATATTGCTCTCCTTCGATCTGAAACAAATTAGTTGGTATTATATTTCGAATTTTGAATATATTGAGAATTGAAATCAAGAAAGTTACATGGAAATAGAAACTGGAATATGAATGATTTTTTTCGATTCCGTTGCTGAAACGTGACATATTCTTTATTGCTCAAAAAATGAGCGGAACAGATAGCCAACAGTTTTCTCCTAAATGAGAAACACTGTATATACCTAACCCATCAGGCACCTACCCCGGTTGCAACGAGGGTTTACCGATGCCAAGGGTTGATACTCTCCCCTCGTAAGGGTACCTGTCGTGTCTCCATTGAGACATAAAGGTGACTATCGAAATATCTTCTATAATATATCACCTTCCATAACGAATATTGAATTTGGAAGAAATATTCTAAATGGATTGGATGAAATTCGTTATTAGGAATGAAAAACTTATCACTGGTTCGCTAGTCTCTAGTCTGGTTCCCTCTTCTGTACAATTTTTGCGTCGAATAATAACACATCGCTCTCCTTCGATCTGAAACAAATTAGTTGGTATTCTATTTCGAATTTTGAATATATTGAGAATTGAAATCAAGAAAGTTACATGGAAATAGAAACTGGAAAATGAATGATTTTTTTCGATTCCGTTGCTGAAACGTGACATATTCTTTATTGCTCAAAAAATGAGCGGAACAGATAGCCAACAGTTTTCTCCTAAATGAGAAACACTGTATATACCTAACCCATCAGGCACCTACCCCGGTTGCAACGAGGGTTTACCGATGCCAAGGGCTGATACTCTCCCCTCGTAAGGGTAACTGTCGTGTCTCCATCGAGACATAAAGGTGACTATCGAAATATCTTCTATAATATATCACCTTCCATAACGAATATAAAATTTGGAAGAGATATTCTAAATGAATTAAATGAAATTGGTAAATAGGAATGAAAAACTTATCACTGGTTCGCAAGTCTCTAGTCTGGTTGCCTCTTCTGTACAATTTTTCTGTTGATTGATAACACATCGCTCTCCTTCGATCTGAAACAAATTAGTTGGTATTATATTTCGAATTTTGAATATATTGAGAATTGAAATCAAGAAAGTTACATGGAAATAGAAACTGGAATGAATTTGAATGGTTTTTTCAATTCCGTTGCTGAAACGTGACATATTCTTTATTGCTCAAAAAATGAGCGGAACAGATAGCCAACAGTTTTCTCCTAAATGAGAAACACTGTATATACCTAACCCATCAGGCACCTACCCCGGTTGCAACGAGGGTTTACCGATGCCAAGGGTTGATACTCTCCCCTCGT